CGCGCGCCGCGGTTAAGATGGTGCCCGGGCGGTTGGGCGGTTGGGCGGCCGCGCGCGGACCGCCGCGTCCGTTGAAAGCCGTTGAGCGGCAGCGGGACTGCGGCGCGGGGAGGGAAGCTGCGAGAGGGGCGGTTTTGGCCACGTTGGGCKGCAGCGTTGTGCCAGGCTGCAGCGCCGTGAAGTGCTGGGAGCTTAGGAAGCGTTTGGTGAAGTCTGTAGGGATCCTCCTAGCTCGGGCCGTTTGCTCTGCGCCTTGTTCCCGTTGCATACGAAACAAAGCCTGGCGTGCTAGGCCCAAAACAGTGTTTCTGTTCTCCGGGCAGGTGCTGTCCATGGCCGAGGCCCCGCAAGTGTGAGGAGCACGTGCGAGCGCCCGCACGCTCGTGTCCTGGGGAAAGGAGGAGGCGTCGAAGGCCGCGCCATGTAGTGCAGCCTGCCAGGTAGGGCACTTCGTGACAGGCTCTTCAGTGCCCGCTGTGTCTGGGGAAGTCTCCTGATCATTTTTAATGGATGATTTTTTTTTTTTTTTTTTTTGAAGTATCTCACTGAATGATGAGGCATGTGCGTGATGGTTTTTCTGTGTCCCTTGGTGGAATGGTGAAGTTCATGTTTTCTTTCCTCCTTTTCTCCTGATATTTTCTACATGAAAGAGAGTTTTTTTTTTTCCTAAGGCACTGCTGGGTTATTTCACCTGGTTGGTTTTATCTGTGGAGATGATTGTCCCATTTATTACTGTAGTATGAATAAGGTTGAATTATCTCAGTTACAAATTATTGCTCTGAAACGAACCATTTATAAGTTATCATTTCCTATTTAAAATGACTTACCAGTCACCCATTTTTAAGTAAGATGGATTTTCTTTTGCCTCTCTTGCAAATGTCTGCATACTGTACTCATTCAGTAAGAATATGGATAGTTTCCTCAGCAAAGTTCATTCCAGATAGATCTGAAATGTATTAATTACTGAAAAATAAATACAACTTGTGTTTATCTACTAATCTCTCCTTGTCTACGTTTTGCAAATTCAGTTGTTTTATCCATTCGGATCTGTCTTCTCCACTGAATCATCTCCTACTAAAACTTAATGCAGCAATCTTCCTGATTCCACACAGATACATCTGTCTAAATCCAACTCCTTTCCACATCAGCAGATCTTTTTCATTGTCCAGGGACAATACTGAACATTACTAAAAATGAACACTTACCTCTCAACAAATCTAACTTTTTTTTTTTTTCAGTTACAATCTTAAGACATCCCCTCTTCCCGAGTGTGCAGGAGTTACTGCAGTTTCATTCTGTTGCTATATTCGGCCAAGATTTTGACAACTAAGCAGCAAAGGAAAACTTTTTTTACTCCTTCCTTCCTCCTTCACTTCCCTAGGTTGCTTTTTAAAATACTAGGTCCTGGAGTTGAACACAATGATTTCTTTTAAAGCAACATAGACCAAGTGTCTCATTACTAGATGTTTTGTACAGTGGCAAGATCTGCCATACAAAAACAAGTACAGTTACTGATAACAACAGTCACAGAGAGTGTTACTTTTTAAAGCTCTGWAYGTGGTCAGAACAAAAATAAGGATAAGGCTATTGGTTACATGAGCTGTTTTCATTTATTACATACCTTTCCACAATAAGTATGTAGACATATAGTTTAATAGACTGATGTAAATGACAAAAAATACTTGTTCTCGTGCTGTCGGATGCTAGTTCCTCTACCAGTTAGACATTTTCCTTTCTTTTCTATTTCCAGTTTAAGTGGTTTTACTTCTGCAATAGACAGAAGGCTAATTTGAATGACAGCTACAATTTCAATGAGATGTAAAATGAGCTGTAAGCTCAAATACCAGCTTGTAATTCTCAAATTCAGGTTTTGTGGGTTTTGTTTGTGTTTATTAATTACGTAGCAGAGAATATTTGAATATTGGTGAAATCTTTGAGGAAAATAAGCTATTGTCCAGTGTTTGTATCCATTGGAGGAGTACTTGCAATTATGTTTTACTGAATTTTCTGCGTGTACGTTTGCATGGTTGGCCATGCTGGAGGTTTTGGACCGTTTCCTGTGCACGGAACAGGTACTGCAGGCTCTGCCTCTCCACAAGGTCTCAACTACTGTCTTTCCAGATACTGGTTTAGGGTGTGACTCTCAAACAGGGACAAATCTCATTGAGGTGTGTCCTGTGGTTACTGCTGCCTACAGAGCTGGCACGTCCTGAAAGCCGTTCCCAAAGCATCAGCTTCTTGTTCTGCAGTAAACCAAACAGGTTTATATTTGTCTTGGATAAAAGGCTGTTTAGGTAAATGTTTCACAAACAGCTTAGCTATCTGTGCAGGCAGGGAGGATGTGCCTGCTTGGGGGCAGTAAAATCAAGGAGCCAATCTCTGCATGAGCCAAGGTCCTTCATCTCCAGTCTGTCTGCTGGTTTAGAATGAGTTAAAGCCATTGTATTGTAATTCCTAAGGATTACATAGTCTATATGTCAATCTATAACATGAGTCACACAAGCCAGTCACGATACCAGTCCCTCTCACAGATGATTATCTGCAGGAGCTACTTTAAAGAGGGTACCATTTTAAACACAGTGTGACAAGATATATTTAAATTACAGTAGTTACCTTGTAATAGATGTGTATGTGAAATTATGCTTACAGAGCAGATTTCCTGCAAATGAAGTACAGGAGAGCRCCATTCAGGAAGATAAAAATGTTTTTAAATTGCAAACTTTATTTCAAATCAAATTGTGTCTTTTAAGCTGATGCCCCGTTCTCTATATGATATACATGTGTGTGTGTGTGTGTGTATTTTTTTTTTTCCTGAGGCTTTTGGATTTTGCTTCTCGGGAGTTCATTTTGTCATATAGATTTGTAGGTGCTCCATAGATAGGGGAATAATGCTGTAGGCTATTCTGGACAACATTTCTAATGCATGGCTGCCTACAATAGGGAGAGCTGGGCTTGACAGTCCATCAGGATCTGGGTAGTCCCTTCCAGTCCTCTGTTCCTAAGCCCATTTGCGATGCAGATAGTTGTCCAGTGACCTGGAAGGAGAATGCCTATTCATTTCTGACAAACAGCCTTCAGATAGTAATGTTTTTTCACTACTAAAATGAACAAAATAATGGCAGGGATATGAAAGACTTGCATCTTGTACCAGTTCCCTTGAACCATTTAATTCTGAATGCTTTAAACCAGTAATTCGTGTTGCATTTGTGTGCATATGCATGTACTTGTGCAGGTATGTGCGGGACAGAGAAGTACATGGGGATCATAACAGGAAATGGAGCTGTCTTCATAAATAGACTGGCTATTGATCAGAAAGGGAGACTTCTAAAGCACCGAGCTTGGTGGAGGAGTGGGAGATAGATTTTTTTTGTTTAGCTACACATCGTACATCTCTACCTTTTATAGACGGAAAATTCATTTTAATACATTCTATTTGTAAGCAAAGATGAAAGGGGGAGAAATAAGCTTTGTTGGTAGAAACAAAGCTCTAGTTTGGTCTAAATTGYGCAAGCATATGCTTTTGTTCCTACAGGATAATTTTTCAAAATTAATTTTAAAGGAAGTTAAAATCTTAAGATGCTTTTATTTTTAACACTGGAGTACTTTTCAAAGGCAGCTTCTAAAACTACGTTTGCATACTTTTTGAAATCCTTTTTTTCTTTTAATTTTCACATGCAAGTCAGAGAATTTATTCCAGTGACTAGGTGATCTCTAGTGGTCCCTTCCAACCTCAATAATTCTGTGGTTCTGTGATATTTGTGCACATAGATGTGTGCTTGTGCTGCTGTTTGTGTGAGCAATATTTATGGATGTAATTTTGGAATCTATTTGTCTTTTGGCCTACCTTTTTGGTAGGAAAATGGAAAATACTTGCATCAGTGATTAGTAATACCAGCAGATGTCTCTATTTTGTCCATTAATCACTTGTTCTGATATAAATGACAGCAAAATTACAGATCAGCCATTCCAGTTCTACGGTGGCTTTACTTTGACTACAGTTGAGTGTTTTTTTGTTTGTTTCTTTTATACCCATGCTAGTAAGAGACTTTKCGAGGATTAAAAAGGAATTCTGGTCTCTTAATACTTTGATGTGTGAAACAGTCCRGGGCATTCAAAAGAATACATACAGATAAAACAGTCATGACATTAGAAAAGGACTAAGCATGTAGAAAGATTAAGTTAGTAAGAGAATAATTAGGATTAGGGGCCAATTGTGCACGTGAATCAATTCTTCATCTGTTTTTCTGTGAAATGACTCRGAGCGCAACAACTCTATTAGTGCTGCTGGGATGGATTTACCCCAGTCCTCCTTTTCTCTTGAATATCCTCCAACAAGAATATCTTCTGACATGATATGCCTCAGGCTTTTACTCCTCTAAGAGGGAATTATGTAACTTGGATGCTTTCTGAGAACAGCACTTGGGTTATGCTCCCGAGTCCCACACATGACTATATTATTAAATTAGCTTTGAAACAAATTGCTCAAAACAAAGAACTATTAGTCCGTATATCAGCAGTACGAAACACAAAGATAATGGAGAAACCTAAGAAATGAAAATAGTGTGCCTGTCTTACTATCTTTGTATCTTACTATCTTTGTCATTTGCAGTTGGGAGGAACAACATGCTCTTGGTCTCTTAGCTTGCTAATTTTTCGTTAAAAATAATAGGCATCATTTCTTAACTCTTTTTAAACCATAGCCATTTTCTGGGACCTCTCAGGGTTTAGGTTTCTTCTTAACTCTTTTTTCAGACCATAGCCATTTTCTGGGACCTCTCAGGGTTTAGGTTTCTTCTTAACTCTTTTTTCAGACCATAGCCATTTTCTGGCACCTCTCAGGGTTTAGGTTTCTTTTGCTCCCAAGGTTGGCCTAAGGGAAGAGTGCCTTATTCTGGCTGGAAGAGTCGCTCATTCCCTTCGCTACTTTTGGAAGCTTTACATCCCCAACTGACCTGTTCATCTCACTGTTCTGCCTTTTGCTCTTTATTCCTCAAAATAGTAAGACATCTCTTATTGCAACTCTGTAGCTTCAAGCAGAAGTACCGAATAGAACAGGAAAAAATAGCTGTGCCTAAAATGCAGAAAAGATTATGAACATTCCTATTTCCTCATAAATGTAGTGTAAGCTGCCATCAGACAGTGAAGATCGCTTAATAAATACCCCCTGGGTAGTTTTTTTCTGTCCTAATTGCCTAGGTGATTGTTCTCAGGGAAGCAGCCCCGCTGCTCCTGCAGTCCACAAGCTATGTTCACCACAACTCCTGTTTTTTCAGCAGCATTTACTGACATTCGTGACTGTTCTGTCAGGGTGAAACAACAACCGTACATGTGTATCCTGAGCATAATAAGACCTTGCAGTATTTGCAGCAGCTGAGAGCTACTAGGCTGTCCTTATTCCAAACAGGTTCTGGGGGAATTGGTACYGATTCCCCCTTGGGACTCCCTTTCCCTGGAGGTGCCCCACAGACTAGAGCAGATTAAAGAGGAATGAACAGAATAACAGTAAGTTTTCCTGCAGGTGCAGGATAATGTGAGGGGAGAGTTCGCCCTGTGAGATGATAAATGCAGGTAGTTGCTTTCCCTTGGAGGACTTGAGCAGATGTAGTGGAGAAAATACATGCACGCCCTCTGCCCATTCAGATACAGTGTTATCTGTTTTGAAGAGCTGCATTTCCTCCCAGGATGCTTTTCTGAAAGAAGTCTGTGAGTGTTTTTGTGATTTGTGGCATGGTTTCTCCCCGCCCATATCTATTTTTGAAATGCTCAGATCATATGGTACTTACTCAAGGATAAGAAATGCCCCAGTGGCATCTTGTGCTTATTCTTACAGGAGGTATATTTAGCAAAAACCCTCCAATTAGTATTTTGTCACTTCTTCGGTTCCTGAAGTTCCAATTTTGATACGGCTTCAGGTATATTATTGGCAATACTTCTGAGGCTGTAAATAATGTTATTTATAAACCATCAAACTTCATTTAGTTAAGAAATGAATTCTAACTATCCCATCTAATTATCCACAAGAAGTGTGGATGGAATAGAAATGTAAACTTATTTGTGAATGGAATAAATCACCGTATACTGAGGATAATGTGATCACTTTTTTMATTCTTTGTAGTGTGAGGCAGCACCTATGCAGCTTGCCTAGTTATAAAAAGTATAYGTTTAAGTATCTGTGAAGTTGCTGACGCAGAGACCAACTCTGTTCTTTGTATGTTTTCCCTTAATGCAGAAATGCATTTTCTGCATTTAGATATGTGAACTATACCATATTGTTGTGTGAATTACTGGCGTGTCGTCTTCAGTATTTACTTTCTAACAGGAGCTGTCAGATCGTAGGGGTAGAATTTGTATTAGACCTCAGTGAAGCACCGGTAAGGAACAAACCTCTGGGGTCTGAATAAAGAAATGGCTTTTGCAGTAGTTGCTGTATTTCCAGTGCGTAAACCTCAAGAGCAAATGGGCCAATAAGTCTGTGATCCAAATGGAGAGACAGATGGAAAACATTATGGTGACTGGTTTCTGGCATTAAAGAAAATAACCTAGAACTTTTATTTAAAAAAAAAAAAAAAAAAAGTTCTGCAGTTTAAGCTTTTTTTGCACTTTTCAAAACATGAAAGATTTCAGTTATTTATTTCACATGCTGATTCTGATATATGTGCACTCCCTTCAACAGCCTTTTCCCTCAGATGCTGTGTATAACATAGTTACATTTTACAGTTATATTTAAATATCAATGTAGCCTGAAATTAGGTAGTTTTGAGCAATTAAAATGAATAGATTTCTCATTAGCTAAGAGCCACGCATAGTTTTCATCAAATGCAGAACCTATCTTTATGTTTGTTATGGGAAAGTAGACTGCCAAAACCACRTTTTGGTCAGCCCAAGAGAAGACAAACTGACAAATTTTGCTTTTTTGAGCAAATGCCTGCTGTGTTAATTTTAGGTTTTGGTGTTGGGTGAATTGCTAATAAGATGTACCCAAGCTGGTCAGCCCTCTAGAGGAAAATTGTGAGTAGATTTATGATTTTGAAGAAGAAATTTTTAGCTGCACCCCCATCACAGCATTCTAAGTAGAAATGAAATTACTTGATAATGTGCAAGGTAAATTATTGTGTTGATTGTGATTGTATGAAAAAAAGGGTTTTCCATGTTGAATGTGTGCAGAAAGACCAGAGTTGTGTTTCTGTATTTTATGGTCTAGCAATATGCTCGGTCTGTAAGTAAACATTAATTTGTGCTGGTGGCTTTTATGAGATCTTTTGTAACTCCTGTGGATGCTTTTTTTTCTCTCTGTCCCCACAGAAATACTTTCAATTACAGCACCCTATATTCAAGGCTACTGCTGAGGTTAACAAAAAAAAAAAAGAAAAAAGAAAAAGAAAAAAAATGATAAAATTTTTTCTTATGGTAAACAAACAAGGTCAGACAAGACTCTCTAGATACTATGAGCACGTGGAAATTCATAAGCGGACCATGCTGGAAGCTGAAGTAATCAAACACTGTCTCTCCCGTTCAAAGGATCAGGTAAGTTTTTGGATTTTTTTTTCTCTAGCCATGTTATCTTAAAACAAATTGTAAAACATTAACATCTCACACTTTCTGTGTAAATAATTCTGAAAAGCAAGCATGCGAGCCTCATTGCTGATCATTACTTCCTTGAAGTACCCATGAAGAAAAAGAGCTGTTTTTCTAGATTATATATTCCCTCAGAGGATCTGTTACTCCATGGTGAATAAATACATTTTTCTGGGGTTTGTRGAGTCATCTGTTTCTTCAAAGGAACCCAGGGAGAATTTCATTTATTCTGTTACTACTTATCTAGCACTGATCTATAGATAGATGTTATTACTGCTTTGCCAGAAAGTAACATGTAGAATGGGCAGCTCTAAGTTCTCAGATCATTAAATTCTGATCTATATTTTTCTATTACTATTATTAATGTGATTTCTAAGCCTTCTTTTAGGCATTTTGTTTTAAATGGAAAGTTCATATTTAATGCAAGAAAGTCAGAAAATGGAGAAGTTGAAAATTTTCTTTAAGGAAAGTTAAATTTTCATAGCCATGTATTTGGCTCTTTAAGAAGAGTACCAAACTGAGCAGAATTGTCAAGCACATTGGTTTGCAGCTGAAGAGAAATCTCTAACTTGGAATCTGAGTGGGGTTTTGGGGTTTGTTTTGCTGAAGTCAGCTTCTTTATTTTGCATTAGCTATGTGTGTTCTTGAGCAGTAGTCATCACATATTTTACGCTAGAAAACCTCAGTAAAAATACCATTTCCTACCCAGTGGTTGGGGTCACAGAATTAACACTGGCTAAAGCCATTAACCTCCCCGATTCTGCTGGCAAGAGCTTCTTTAAGCAGAGACTTTCCTGGAAGAGGTGCCAGTGCCTCCCATTTCAGGAGCTGTGCAAAGTGCTGCTTTTAGAAAGGGTACTTAAAAAGCAATGGGTAACAGCACCATCTACTGGCTTCTCTCCGGTGGTGAAATACATGCAGGGTTTCCTCCTGGGCCTGCAAGTCCAATACTCTAATATTTACTAAGAAAGTATCTTTTTCTTTTAATCTGAAAATGAGCTTTAGGTTGTCTCTTTTGGAAGTGTTGCCATTGGAAGATTTAAGTGAAACGCTTGCGTTATAGCCCTGCACAAGTTACTACAGCTCTATATTGTCCTCAGTCTTTGCATATGAGAAGGGTTTTAAGATGAGCAGATGAAAAGCCCATGTAATAGGTAAATATGCTGCTAGATTTCCTTCAGGATAGTGGTTTGGGGGTATCTTAGGAAACCTATTGCTCTTTGTAGCCTTACAAGGTAATGAATGTTTCAGCCCTTTGGGTATTATGTGTATTATAATAATGCATTATGCTTACATGGAAAATACTGTTAGACYATTTTTGTTTCTGCCTAGTGTTCTTTCATTGAGTATAAGGACTTTAAGCTGGTCTACAGACAGTATGCAGCCCTTTTTGTAGTTGTTGGAATCAACGAGACAGAGGTAAGAAATTGTATAAACTCTTGAAATGTAAGTGTGTATTATTTGCAGTCAAGAACTTGGCCTTCCCACTATGGAATTTTGTAGAATTACGCAGTCAGAGAATTTCGAGCAGTTATTGCAAAATTATTTTAATTGCTATTAAATAAAAAGAAATGTAAAAGAAAATGTAGTACATTTGAGTTCCCTCTGTTGAAGCAGACTGAATTCTTATCACGAGAYAGTCTCCACAAGCCTCATGCTGATTCTGCTTTCTGAGGCTGTGTTTGGCTAATGGAAATGGAGCTTCTCAGCAAATGCAGCCACTACAGCCAGGTCAGTTGTCTCATCAGCAGTGACCTCCTAACTGCTCGTTGCTCTTGACCTCTTTGGGCAAAGAAGCAATTCCCAGACTGTCAGCTGGAAGGATGACTTTTCTGTATTTTTTTAAGGGGTCTGACTGAAAATTGGCAACTGCTGCTGTTGCATGTCTTCATGCAGCACCTGCCAGGCTTCGGTGTTTGCACTGGTTCCCAGCTCCCAGAAATGTAGAGCTTACCACTGCTGGCCATAATGGGGCTGTGTGGAAGGTAACGCGGACCCTCACAGTATCTTTAGGTCAGGGTTATATGACAGGCAATTCAGAGCAAATTCTTCTGGCCTTGGTGCCCCATGCACAAACACTGTCTCTGCGCCACTGCTGCAGTTCCTAGTGTGGCTCTCCTGCAGCTGGCAGGTGCCACTGCAGCACGGGCAGGAATAGCCTAGTTAGGTATCCTTACCTAGCTCTATATCTATCTATATATCTGTCTGTAGCTAGCACTGCTGATGGCAGAAGGGATGCAGGGCACTGGCAGAAGGCCAGCTGGGCTCGCAGGGAGCCTGCAGTGCTTGCCCATGTGGCTGGCCTGTCCTGAGGCTTGTGCTCCGGAGCTCTCTGCTCCTGCTGCCTCAGGTACGAGGCYGCACCTCCTGTTGCCACGAGTTTGTGCACTTTGCTGTAGGACTTGGTATTATTTTCTGATTTACATCACAGATTCAGATAATGCAAATAATACTATCCTATCTTCTGCCCATTCATTTAATATACYGTTTTTTAAATTTAATTTCAGAATGAGATGGCGGTATATGAGCTAATTCATAACTTTGTGGAAGTTTTGGACAAATATTTCAGCAGAGTGGTGAGTGAGACATTTCTTCTATTGCAGAACATTTCTTCTCTTTCCAAGCGGTGGTTGCTTCAGGGAATGAATCAAGGGTTTTTTTTTTGTTTGTTTGTTTTGTTTTTTAATATTTATGCAGGATTTTGCATTCATGCAAATCACTCAGGCTGAACAAGTTTAGAAAGCTGGAGCAAATGAAACTGCAGCAACTAATTTCTGTTAGTGCTCCCCAAATTACTGTCACACAGCAGTGGCGCTCTGATACAGTCAGTTAGGTAAGAATTCAACATCAGAAATGGCTCCARTTAAAATGATGCTGCTCTTCCAGGTGTGAGGGTTTTTTTTTGTTCAACAAAGTTTGAAAATTCAGCGTTATAATCCTGAATAGAGCTCATGCTATTAAATATTGCTTAATATAGGCATTCCAAATATCCCTCTAGAAAAATCTGGCTGAAGTCACGCTTAGGCAGAGTTTCAGTTTGGTTCTGTTGAAATTTATTAGCTCTCCTTCTTACAAACGCGAGAGCTGGATAGAATTTCTCCGGAGTGCCTCAGCGCGAAGGAGCTGGAGCGCTGGCTGCGAGACACCCGGCGGCCAGGTCAGCGCAGGGGCTGTGACAGGGACGTCCCCGCACGGGGCTGCCGCCGGCGAAGGGGAGCCCATCTGCGCGGGGCCAAGGGCCTGCTCGGGATGGCCAGTGCCTGCCTGGGCTCTGCACCGTTACCCCCCAGCACTCTGCCTGCCTCCTGAAACTAGCTCGGTGCTGACTATCCATCTCCCTTTGTGCTGGTACTAACCTGAGAATGAGAATTGCACTCACAAGGTGAGCAGTGATAGTGAGGAGTGGGACTTGATCCCCACAGCACAAGAATGAACAGTAAAACCTACCAGTGTCTTACTTATCTGAGGCTTTTGAGCTAATTTGTCTGAGGCTTTTGAGCTGACATTTTGAGCTAATAGCTGCCAACCCTTTCTTGAGTTGTTGTTTTCTTCTTTCTTTTTGGTTGAGGTAGAACAAACATAGATGTGTTTTTTATATGTCTAAACACAAGATGAGTCATATCTCGACTGTGTAATCCATATCCTGATAGTTGTTAGAAATTTTCTGAATTCATCATGAGAGAGATTTTGGTATTACTCATAAAAGTTGGGGTTTAAAATTAGGAGAACTGAAAAGGGGAGTGGTTAAAGAGATCTCATACCATTCCATGGTGCTATTTTTAATGGCACRTAATACACAATAAATAGCAGAGCACTGAATAACGGGGCTATAATTCTAGTGGTAGAAACCACAGACCAAGAAAGTATTAGGTCTGTGCTGTTCTGGATAAATGATTAAGCTTTTCAGAATTTTAGTAGAATCCTAAACGATGATGATAACAACAGAAACAAAACTGTGGGATGGAAAAGAACATCTGTCCTGCTCCAGAGGGACATTTTGTCATCTCTATATTTTTAGTTCTGTGAGTTTTAAACATTCTCACATAAACKATTTGTATCTAATTGAGTTTACAGAGCTTGAATTCAGATATCAAAACAAACATTCACAGAATTAGGGCAAGTTTTCAAAGTTGCCTCTGAGATTTAATTATGAATCCTTTTCATTTTCTTCATAGCTACCCATAAAGAACTCTGCATTTTGCTGAAAATACATACTCTACCCTTTCAACTTCCCTTTAATATTAAGTAAAGTTGAATTAATCAGGCTCTTGAAGTGTAATACATAAAAGCTTTTTAATTGGAGGATGGCCAAGGTTGGGCAGTTGGATGGGCATTAGAGGCCTGTAGATGAGAACCGCCTGTTTAGAGCATCTTTAGGGTATAGTGGCATCAGTAATTTTGTGAGTGGAAACTCTTCCCACTAGGAAGGAAACTCTTTCCCTAGAAATCTGGAGTTAGGCTTTAAATAGAATCCATAGAGGCAAAAGTCCTAAATTCCTTCAGCAGCAGATAAAGTCTGTGGGAGCCAGCATCTGTCTTTAAGCAGAGATTAGGAAAGCTCCACCCTGACCATGCAGGATCTTAATCACTGAGGCTGTGATTAGTCGTTTCCAAATTTAGATACTTAGCTGAGGCACCTAAGCTAGGAGCCTGGTCATCTGATGCTCCCATTGCGGTCAGCGGGGACGGATGAGGATCTCTAGCGAGTGAGTCACRTCCCAAGTGCTTGGAGGCAGCTCTTGGGGACGCCCCGCTCTCCTCTCTGCCCTGGAGACCAGGCAGGTGCCTCTAGCCCGGCGCTCCGGTTGTGCAGCTGAAACCTGGCACAGATCCAGGCCCGGGATAGAAGGGAAGTGAYGCCGATGGAAACTGTGTTGCTCGGGCTAGAGCAGAAGTGGAAAAGTGTGAGGGCACCAAGGCTGCCCCYGGCCTGTCCTCTCCTCCTGTCTCCTGCCCTGGCTCCCTCAGCCACAGGCATGGCTGCAGAGGTGTTTGCGGGTGAATAGAGGCTTGAGGGTTTTGCACCTGAAAGGATAGGCAGCAAAATACTTAGCACATTTTTAGATAAATTGTAAAGTTGGCATCAACGGCCTGTTTTTGTAGGAGGAACGTGGGGCAGGAGCTGCATGGTTAGCAATACTGCATTAGCCTGCTTCTCTACCGCTCATTTAGGCAGCACTGCATGTGTTGCAAAAGTCCCTAGTGTCTCATCTCCAGGTAGTTTTCTTGGTGAAAGTCTCAGCACGTTATCTTGTATTACAAAGGCAGGTGACCCAAAGGCAATGGAGGTTCAGAGTTTAGAACATGGATCTGTGCAGTCCAGCACAGAAAACTGGATAGTCCTGAAATTTTACATCTGTATTTTGAGGACTTTCTTTATCCTCTAAATGTGTCATGTGTAATGTGTAATGACATGAAATTACAACTTTAAGTGACAACGTTTAATGAGATGAAAGATTAAACTGTGACTAATGGTTGTCTGTTTCTTTTTCTTTCAGAGTGAATTAGATGTATCCTTTTCAATAGCAGAAATTTGTCTATGATGTACCAGTCCATAATGTCTTCATAATGCTGATTTCTCTGGGGATAAGACCAGGCAGAGTTATGATTTCACAAATTTTGCACCTGAAGTAAGTAGCAATATTTTGACACCCATTAGAAAATGTGGGTAATATTCATGAGGGCCTTCTGCTTACATCTCCAGCCATTAAGATTAACCTGGGCAGGCAGAATGCACTTTCAGAGAACGATGCCACACCAACAGCTAGACATGAACAGTTATATTTATGAGGACCTTTCAGGCTCAAATGAGGATTATTTTTCTTTAAATTTACAATAGAATACGCATTGAAATAAATTACAATGATAAGTAAATATTATAGCTGTGTCATGATCCAAGTAGTAGAGCAGAAGGATCATTGCAACATGAGGTTTTCACTTGCCTTATGAAAGTTTAGTTGGGTTTTACTTATTTATGTCAATAAACAGAAAAGAGAGAAACTCAGGAGGAGGAAACTTAGGAAAACAGCCATTGCAACAGATGTATTCTTTTTTTTTCCAGATACAACCATATTTTCACAAGTACTGTCTAACAGTTATTAGATAAAATATAATCAAAACTGAAATAATACAAATGCCAAATGCTAAAATACGATCTTAATACTTGAATACAATAAAGTTATAAAATACAGTACCGAATATTAACATGCAAAATAGGATGTAGAAGGAGAATGCAGTGCAAAGACCTTCTTCCACAGTAGATAACTAATCTTAGTCTTTCAGTCTTCTTCCTCCTTAGTTTTTCCAGTCCCAGATTTCCCCTGGATTGTAGTTTCTGGTTGTAGTTCAACAATCCTCATGACTAGAAATGTGGCTGCTTATATGAGGCACTGCTGGTACCAAGGCTTTCAGTAATACATGTGAAATACAGTTGTCAGTCTGGAAGCAAATGCTTAGAATTAATTTTAATTACCATATTTAAGAATTAAGAGTAACTGTTCAGATTTGTATTTATTTTTGACAACTTCTTGAATAGGAGGAATAGGCCCAGAGAAACAATATAGGATCTGGACCACAAGTGTCTCAAGCAGCTGTTAATGCAGTGAGAAGAACAATCCGTCAATATGCCTTTCATAAAGCATACCATCCTATCCCCACCTGGGATTAACCCACTTCCTTTGCCAAGCAGGCTTAGCTGCCTCTTGCATGGGGTATAATTAGCTCGTGGGCATAATAGCTGGTGCAGGACGTGCAGGCTCAGTGGCTGGAGCAGCAAATACCCAGCCTTATGTATAGACTCTCTGTGTGCGGAGCGTCTGGCTGGAGACTGCCTTCGCTTCCTGTCTCTGTGCTACTCTTTCTGCGTAGAGATTCACATGAAGTTCCTTTTGAAAGTGCCAGCAGCTATTTTGTACGGAAAATAATGTTTACTAATATGAAAATTACAGTAAGAATCTATGTGAGATCCAAACCAGAAACGATAGAGCATAATCACGTTGGAGCTCTTCACCCCCTCAGAGCAGCCTACCGTTAAGCCTGAGCGTTGCTGCTGAGGCAGCGCTGAGGTATTGCAGGAACGAAGGCCACTTGCCCGCCGCTCTTGAAAACATTCCCAGCCCGCGGCTGCAGCTGCCTGGGAACGTGGGGCTCGGGCTTCAGTCCCAACCCCTTCCTTCCTTCGGCCGAGGCAGCTGCCCCGAGCCGGGAGCCAGCTGTCCCTGCACACGGGAGCCGCAGCCCGGCCGGGAGGAAGCCTGTCCGGCTGCTTCCCGCACCGTGTGYGCAGATAAGGGGGGTGGTGTGTGATCCCAGCAGCTCCCTGCACAGCSTGCGGGTGTGCGGAGGGGTGTGTGATCCCGGCAGCTTCCCACACAGCGTGCGGGTGTGGGGAGGGGTGTGTGTGCCCAGGGATGCGGCGCTGGCATCTCCTGCATCCCACCCCGTCCAGCATAGGGGCTGCAGTCTCTACTTCAGCTCCAGAAGGGCTCTGCTTGTTAATGGTACTTCCATGGGCAAAGGGGAGAGCGTGTAGCCCTGGGCAAGCTGCCTGCTGCCACTGGGGCTGTCCCTCACATAATTAGGGGTGTTTCTGATGGAAAGCAGTAACACTTCAACCCCCTCCCCTATTTTAAACTACTGGAAGTAGTTAGTTGTGCTGGCGGGACAGCYGAATGAGGAAGTGCTAAAACTCTTGTAGCCCCTCTGCTTCATAGTGTGTTTTTATCACTAGATGAGCTTTTATGTATCAGCTAGTAGGGGGAATGTTGTGTAGCTCCAAGACCACGGCTTGGGTGGTGCAGGACCCTCCCTCTTGGAGCAATTGTGACAAAATAATAGTAATTACAGTAAAAATAAAGGTTAGCAGAGGACCTTTGTAGAGGATACCGTATTGCTAGGCATGGCACTAAGATCACTAAAGGTTGACTTTTCTGTAGCTTCAGGTGGTGAAGTTCAGCACCCCTGGAGACACCTTTGGGGTTTATGGAAGAACTGAGGGTGTTGCCATTGAGGGAGAGGGATGGGGGGAGCCAGAGGTCTCTGCAACGAAGCATTCCAAGAGTGTTGCCTGGGTGTGGAAAACGCCATCCCCCTGCAAGGGGGTTGTTCTTCTGCTGGGTAGATAAAAGGCTCTGAGACAGGAAATACGGGTGTGAGTCACTGCGTTCACTGCAACCAGGAGCTGAGTAGGAGTCACTGCTTGCACCCAAAGCAGGGGCTAGTAGATGACCTAGAATATCACAGAATTTGAAGGTACCACTTGCTCACTGTTGAATGTTAGCAGAGTCATTTGAGGAAAAAGAAAAACAATCAGAGAACATTAAATGGCTTTTGGCAACTAAAATTAACCTGCCATTAGATAGGCAGAAGTTGCTTTAAAGCAAGTGTTGGTAAAGATAAAGTCAGAATACCCAGAATAAATGAGGTTTATTAACTTTACATTTAAAATGGAAGAAAAAAGGAAAAAGGCATCAGAAGGTACCCTTTAGCTGAAGCTTTGTGGCGAGAATGTCAGTGAGAGTTTTGCAAGGGCTGTACATTCAGTGCCAACCCCTCTGCCGCTGCAGCAGTCCTGCTGGCACCCACAGCACCCGTGGTTGCTCCTGGGTGTGCTGCCTGACACAAGGTGCTGGCTGCACCTTATCAGCTCTTGGGCCTGTGCACACCCTTAGTTACTCACCTAAGAGTTACTCACCACGAGATACCTGAACGTGCCCCTTGGTGTAGCAAGCGTATGTCACAAGCAAGACTTGAACATCCCCTTTTACTGCTTTCTTTCTGCCCTCCTTCCTTCTCCAGGAAGCTGTCCGCCTGTAAGGACGTTCTGGGAAGGAGATATGAGATGCAGCATCACCTCTAGCTCCTCTTTGTAGGCAGTAGCTCCTACAGCCTGCAAAGAAAAGCTTTGCAGGCTGTAAAACCCACGGGTGAGAGCAGAAAAGCATCACTGGTTCCTCAACAGGGGACTAGCTGCTCAGGTCCCTGCAAGGCAGCACAGGATTTCAGCAGCAGTTTCAGCTACCCAAGTAGCTTCGGGTGAAATCTGTAAGCTGAAGAACACAGGAAAGATTCAGYGTAGGCAACAGCTGAGCCCTGTGGGGTCTCCTGCTCGCCAGGTGCTCTGACACCTTTGGGGAGAYCTGCTGGAACCCTGTTCTCACAGTTCCCTACCCATATTTTACTCTTGGCCAAGCAGAACACATTTATTGGAGCAGCTGAATCTTAAACAGCTGCTACCCCCCCACACTCGCATCCAGGAGCCCCGGATTCAGCCCAGAGAGCTCAGAGCTAGTGGTGCACAAAGGGGCAGCCTGTGCAGCACCCTCCGAGCTGAACTCTTTGTCCATTAATTTAAGCCAAAAGTTCCCTTTTGCTTCACACTTCAACCTGCACAAGTTCAAACTTACCCTTCCCAAATACCTTACCCCTCAGACTGATTAGGGGTATTTTGTATCCTTCCTGTTMCTTTAACATACAGAGCAGAAGCAGTCGCCAAGACAGACCAGCCCTTGGGCTTCCTCCCTCACTCGGCCAGAGCGTCGCACTCAGTTTCACACCCGGCAGAGCCGCCTTYGGCTGCTGCAGCCAGCCCTGGCACAGCTCAGCCTGCCCGGGGAGCCGGGACCGGAACAGGGAGGCGGCACCGGCACCCGGGGCTGGCTGTGAGCCGGGGTGCACAGGGGCTCGCACACGGGCCGCTCTTGAAAGAAGAGTCTGAGGCAGCCGTCTGCACCCAAAGGGAACGAGCCATTTATTTACTCTCCTTGAGAAGGTTTGTTGTTAAATCGATGCATCAGCGCTCTCATACCAGCTGATTCCTTTGGCCAAGCTATTTTCAAGCAGGTTGGATACAGACCGTAAGTAACTTYTTAGGGTAAGAAAAATTATATATCAAGAATGAGATTTTAGGAATTTGTTGACAAATGACCCAACAATTTCACTTAGAAGAAATGTAAACTATTTGGATTTTCACATTCAAGTTTGTTGTCTCTTGATAACAGTATTTTATGTTCAAGCAGTAAATAGTCCTCAATAGGAAAAGTAACCACCTCTGTAAGTGTAAGCTTGTCTTTCTTTTACTACTATACGATAATGTTCCAAGATGCAACCTTGGTGGGGGCTTTATCTTACCTGCTACAAACTTTGGACACCTCAGTGGCCAGGGAAAAACAGCTCAGTTGAACTGTCAGCACTGGTAAACAGCAACAAAACAGCGCTTAGAAATTCTAATCAAAGACCACAAGCAAGATGCCTGACATGCTCTCTGAATTAGTTTTGTGCTGTTCAAAATATTCTTAACTCAAAATGTTTCTAGATAATGTTCAATTTGGACAGAGTGCACATCATTTTGGATGAAATGGTGCTGAATGGCTGCATCGTGGAAACGAACAGAAACCGAATTCTCGCCCCTCTGCTGGTGCTGGACAAAGTGGCAGATAATTAGTGGGAGGCCGGAGGCGGCGCTCGAGGGGCAGGGGCAGCGCGAGCGGCAGCAGCAGGAGGGCACCCACATCCTAGCACCGACTCGTGCAATGTTCCAGCTTCTGGGAAAACAGCCAACATCTCTCCTTCTACCCTGCCCACCCAATGGAAAGACGTGACCAAGCACAAAGCGGATTCTTAATTTGCAACACTATTGACTTCTGCTATCGACGCAGCAGAAGTCTTTCTAAAACACTTTTTTTTTTTTTTTTAAATTCCCTGAGGACAGTCAATATAATGGAAACTTGCTCTTTACTCTCTAGGTTTCACTTCGTATTATGTAGCATTGTGTCAGSCCTAGGAGAAGACAGAAAACACAAATACAATTTCAAATTGAGTTTCAACCCTTCCTTTAAAGCACCCGAATTCTTATTTTCAAATAACTGTATATTAAATTTCTGTAACTTTTATGAATTCTAAGTTCAGCCTTCATCAAAAAGTTGGTTTCATTTCCCTTGCCAACAGAAATGATGGTTATGACAGAAATAGAAATAACAGAACCATAGATGTATTTAAGATTCCTGCACACTGTGGGAGTTGTAACTTGAAATATTTGGCACTTGTAGTATTATAACCTTAATAAAAAATAAGATCAAAGCATTATCTTTTATCATATACATATCAGTTCCATAAATCACACAGTCTTTTGTATCTCAGCATAGCTGTATGTATTTTAACTCTCTTATTTACTCTAGCCATACATTGTGATCATAAACTCTATGAATGATGCATAGCAAAAATAAGCAAGTTCCTCTCTACCAAGTAAGTACCAAATCGCAGCTTCCTGCTGGAGCAGGAGGTGGCAGCTCAGGAACAAAGTGCTGGCTTTGGGTGTGTGTTACAGACCAGAGCACCCAGGAAGCGGCAGCTGGGCTCACACTTCACTCACCTTCCCAGCACGGAGGCGGGCGGCTCCCTCGCAGCGCCCGACCCAGCACTAGGCACAGTCTGATACTGGAGCAGCGCACGGCTCCGTCCCTGCGTGTGCCGGGAGCTGCACTCATCTCCGGGGCATGGAGAAACCAGGGTCTACCAACTGCTGAGGGAAGCGAAGCAGGGAACAGTGCCCAGCTTCCAGCTTCCGAGCTGTTCTCCTCCTCTCACCCAGGAGACCCGAGTATCCAGAAGCTGAGAGGCCTCCCAGCTCTAAGCACTGCACACACCACCACATAGAAGCATCTCTTGCAAGCTACCAAACATCTAGATTTTAATGGAGGAAACTAAATACGATTCTGTGGACCTCTGTTCACAGATAACGTGAGCCTGGCCACAACGTAGGAGCCATMAGCCCAGCATCTCAGCAGTAACCACTACTTTCACCTCAGGACAGGCCTGTGCAAAACTTAAGTACCAAAGAAAACATGTAGCCTGTTTATTGAACACATCCTCCTTTTTCTTTTGTGTTACCAAGTGACGATACTAAAGCAGTGCTAATCCCTTACTTGCTTCCTTGTGGTCCAAGTCACACTTTACCAGGCAGTACTCACGTCACGGGAGCCATGTGAGGAATCGGGCATAGGGGAACCAGAGGCAGGGACAGCGCAGGGAAAAGGGCCACGTGCCGCRGGGGCAGCGCCAGGCTGGCTCTGGAAAGCTCCGCTGCGACATTCGGAGAGCGGAGAAACACACAGGGGTGCACGTGGCTGCGCACAGGTATTGCTTCTGCCCTGGACAACAGGCTCGTTATTCACAACGTGCAGTTTCAATAAGATTTGGAAAATATTAAGGAAATAKTCAGAGGAGACAGTTTGGTACGCTGCAAACATTTTAATGATTACTGTTGAGCTTACACATTGGGGTTTTTTTTCTTTTTCTTCTTTAAACTTCAAACTGCAACAAGTTAAATAAATGTTTATAATATACAAAGAAAATACAACCAAAAGTAAAACTTGCTTTAAGTGTGCCTTGCACTAGGAACCAGTGTTTTTTAATAGCTTTATTGTTGAGCTGCACAAACACGCTCAAGGATTTGATCTTTAAGCAGGGCAATGGAGAAATTAAAATATATTCCCACTTGAAAGAAAAAAAAAGAAAAGAAAAGAGGGGGGTGTGCATGATTATATGCAAAAACCCACTAAAATACTCCAATAGTGCAGGCACCATTAAAAAAGAAAAGCTGGAGATGCCCATTAACTCTTAAGTTTTAAGGAAGCAAGTTTCTGACCAGTTAGCGTCAAGCCAGCAGAACAGGGATCAGTGATGGCAACTGTAGTGTACAAGGTATTAAATGACCAACTTTACACAAATACACTGTTAGAAATTCATATCAGTGAACACTGAAAACGGATGCTCTGTTCGTTGGAACAGTCAAACAGAACCATCTTAATTTCCAGTTGTGCAAGCCCTTGAAGCGTCACACAGTGTTCTGTGCCAAATTCTTGCTGGCTGTGGAGTAACACGGATTTACTTTTTGTCATTAGCAGCTAACAAACTTATTCCACATGTTCCTAAAGCCTCACAGGTGAAAACAAGGCGAGTCTTCAGCGCAGAGCGTGGGCGAGCGCAGGTTCTGCACACAAGCACGGGCGGCTTGGCCGGCGCGGGAGGGCCTGGCGCTCAGTTGAGGTGGAAGCCCTTCTCCATGGTGGCCGCGAGCAGGCGCTCCCGCATGATCTCCTCGGACGAGTACTCGGGCAGCTTCAGGTAGTGCACGCACGTGTTCACCGACGGGTAACTCGCGTCGGTGGCGTCCACCTGCGCGACAGCGACAACGCGGTTACGGCACTCGCGCGCAGCGCTCTAGGGCGGGAGCTACGAGTTCCCAGCTCASTGAATCACAGAATGCCCAAGGTTGGAAGGGCCCTCCAGGGGTCATCRAGTCCAACCCCCTGCTCACRCAGGGTCCCCTAGAGCACGTGGCACAGSGCTGCATCCAAGCGGGTTTTAAAGATCTCCAGAGAAGGAGACTCCACAACCTCTCTGGGCAGCCTGTTCCAATGCTCATCCATGGAATTAACAATGTGCAAAGACCAGGGTGCCAACAAAGAGCAGCACCATGAAAGCTCCAGAGCTCACTTAGAATTCTATCTASTTCATACATTTAATTTCTGTATTGTCAATAGTTAAACCGGAGACCTGCAACAGAAGTTAGCACTGAAAGCTTGTAACACAGTGGTGTAAATGAAGAATAGTAAGAAATACCCCTGCTTTCRCTCTAACATGGCAACAGTTACACCTGCAAGCAACAGCGGCGGTTTGGGGGGCAAGGGGAAGGGGCTGTACCTTGCGCACAACGGTGAGGCGCGGGTGAAGGTTGGCCAGGCCTCCCGGGGGCAGCGTGGAGCAGCCGGTGGTGAACTGCAGAAAGGCCTTCCTCTCGTCTGAGGACATGCCACACAAGACCCGCACGAAGCGCAGGAACCCGGGGCTGGAAAGAGACACCACCACAGGCCATCAGCTGAGAGAGCGGAGCCAGAGGGGGCCTCCCTACAGCTTCTCTCAATTGGAGACAGAAAAGGAGCATCTTCAGGCAAGAGTAAGTAGTCCCCGAGGTACCAAGTGCCTGCTCAGTACTGAGTTAAGCATGAAACTTTACAAATATGATTAAATACTTCTTTAATCTCTGCTGGATATTACACAAAAAAGGTAGCTAGATAAAACATTTCCTCTGTTCTTTTCCTGCAGTGTTATTCAGATTTCTTGTGCAAAACCTTGCAGAGGAGCAGATAGAGCTCAAACCTAATCTGAGTCCCATTGACCCTCATCTTAACAACTCCTCTGTACTACTTCTATAGCATGAAAACACTTTCATTTGTATTATGTAACCCTTTTCATATATATTTTCATTGTATTTGTACAACGCTTTCATTGTATAGTGTGAAACCACTTTCATACCACTATTGTAGTGGTATGGAACCACTTCCATTTTTTCCCTCCTCCCTCCCCATTCCTTTTTCCCCGCTGCACATAAGAAACATTCTGGACACACGGAGCCACCACCCTCTCTGGGTTCCCACACAGCCAGGTACCTGTCTCGCGTGTAGCCCAGTTTGGGCTCCGTGTAGTTGATGATGTCCTCGGCTGCCCACGAAGGCGATTGATTTCCACAAAGAATCATTTGAACTTCTTCATGGCTGAAGGAACTCAGCTTCTCCATTGGGAAGACTCTATTAAAGCCATCTTTGATTTACACAAGATGGTTAGAAAACATTAGTCAAGACAGTGTATTAAAAATAAGATCAGCTTTTCTAAGCTTTTTATGTCTTAAACCAGAAGCAAATCAATGGTTCAGCTAAGGAAAACTCGGGGCTAGTAACACCTTTAAAACAAGATGAATAATGGCAAGACTAATGCCAAGATGCTAGGAAACAAATCTCTCCTCTCCTGCCCTCTTGCTGAGGGGGTCTCTTTCGGAAATCCCTTCTACGCGCCCGAACACGAGCRAGTCCAGCCCGGGGCGTTACCTCGGAAGGCCTCCATCTGCTTCTGAATCCCAGCGTGCATGCAGAAGTCAAACATGAGGTCCACGTACTCCTCCGCATTATCCATCGTCACCGTCTGTGAACACAACACAAAACCACCGGGAGACTCTGCCCTGCAGTTCCCGCAGAGTCGGAGCACAGGCGAGCGCCGAGGAGAGGCTGCTTCCTTACCTCATCCTCACCGCCTGGTTTGAGATCCACGGCCGTGAACCCGTAGACTTTGGAGGACGGGCAGAACTGGAAATTCAGCCTTCAGAACAGACAGACAGTTACTCATTGAAGACAAGCCTGCTACTGCTTTTGCAAATACACTGGGTGTCCATGTGCCCTATGCAAAAAGGGAGCRTCTCCCCCCAGGCCACCCCGAAACACTGCGAGGCCCTGGGGCAGACCCGTGAGCAGCGGCYGCACAGCCCAGGCCACAGGCACTAACTGAGCACGCGGACGCTGCCCGGCCCTGGCACGCACGTCGGCCACCACTCCAGCTCCTTGGCGCTGCYAACTGCCACCGCTGTCACACAGGTGGCCTCTCGCTTCGCTTTAACACCACCCAAACTGTTTAACTCCATTCACAAACCCTGCGAGTCCTTCACAGCACCTCCAGAGGCGACGGCCGCGACRCACGACGTGTGGGCCCCGCCGCTCCCCCCTGCACAAGCAGCTCCTCCGACCTCCAGTCCCGCAGCTTTGCTGCCTTCACACAAACCGTGTGTGTGTGGCAGAAACCAGGGGAAGAACGCCTTAAAGGCAGGTTTGCAGCTGTGTCATGTGAAACGGGCACAGAATCAGCACTGCAGCGTGAGAATCAGCTGGCATTAGATTAGGTTGTTTGTAAATCAGCCCTGCATCAGACAGGGCGTTGCTGCAAGGAGGCCGGGAAGCTCGGCTTGGCACTGCCCCGACGTTTGAAGCCTTGCAACGCATGATGTGCAATGCACAGAGCAGCTATAGTGCCTTTGCAAAGAGATTTGGCATAAAACCTCCTCAAACACCTACTTAGACCTACCATCCTGTGGGCTGTGTATTCAAAAGGAAGATGCATTTCTCATTTAAATATAAACAAAATATAAATATAAACCTCAACTCTAAACTCTTAATATCATCTAGTTGTGAAGTATGGGATAGGACACAACTAGGACCGAATAGTTTGTAATACTGATGGTAGAATAACAACAGTTATTTCATGAGAAATAATTTAAAGCTACAAAAGATGACAGCCTGTCACCAATTCACAAAGTCTGGCTACTTTTACATCTTGAACATGGGTTCATCTTTTGAGTGTTTAACTGTACATCCTTTAACACAATTCCACATTTCAGAAGGTCTCTGTCTTCCTCCAGAGGTCTTAAAATACAGGTTTTCACAGCAAAACTGCTTCCTGGGACACATTCTTTGTAAAGGTCTTTAAGGTACTTAGATACTTCTGCACAAACATCAACCSTGCGGGCACAGTCGGGTTGAACGGACTAAAGACCGAAAAAACGTGAATGGAAAAAATCCTCAAACTAAGGAACAGGAAAGGAAATTCAGATTCTGCTGAAACTCTAATGATGGCACTTCTCTCCCCAATGATAATGTTTAAAATGGAGAAAAAAAATTCATTATACAGACTAATATCCAGTTATAACAGAGTACCATTTTTAGATTTGTAGATAAATAAAAATTCTTACCCCAAATCTTCTATGCTAAGTGGAGGTCCAGAACCTGAGGGATTTTTCAGCATTAATTCCTGTAGCTTTGTGTTTTTTTCATCTTCAGAAAGACTTTTGTTACTTAAAATTTGACGCCTTTTAATTGCAAGGTCCTTAATTTCTTTTAAAAATCTTGCTCTATGTGGATTTACTAATTCAAAGTCTTCCCATGTTAGAATTCCATTAAACCAGGCAGGGGGTTTAGGTTTTGGTGGATCAAGGATAAATTCTGATTTGGAGTCTTCTTCCAGACTTCCCACTGACAAGGAATCATGGCCTTCTTCTGTAGAGGCCTCTGACTGGCTTTCAGTACAGTGCAAGTCTCTGTCWCCCCGTGATTCATATATCAACTTACTCATGTTACTTTTAATGTCACCCATACACATAAGTTTAAAAAAAGGCTTAGAAATGGGCAAATCCACAAGTCTGTTGTCCTGAATGCATTTAGCCAAGAAAATTCCAAGAAAATGAAAGAGTTTGGTTATTCTTTCAAGTTCATCACTATCTTGTGGGAATGGTGCTGTGAAGAGTCCACATGACCTCTGTACGTAGTAGCCGGGGGGTTTCAATCCACCACCAATGTCAACCTGTTTAAGAGGCAAAACAAGGAAAAAAACGTCAACTTGGTTAAAGGTGAATTTAGTTATATGCTTGTGCTATTTATTTTACTATTCTCTTAAGGGAAATCAATAATAATAATAAAAATAGACAGCTGTGGAGCACAGGAGTCATCCTTCACCACCATGAGGGCACTGCTGAGGTGTTCCTCTTGGATATCTAGCTCATTTTTGGATGGTTATCTTGTTTTCCCTTTGTGCTGAGCACTTGCAATTTAAAATGCAGAAGTGAAACACACCTGACGAGATTCATCATCTGGGAAGTCATCATCACAGAGCCAAGCACCCAAATCCGTCCTCTGGAATTCGGCTGCCACCAACGCGTAGAATTCCAAGGTAGGACCCAGGCCCGTTCCTTCCTCCCCTAGAAACTCAACCTGAAAAATAAACAGATTAAATCTTTCTGGTCAATATTGATTAAGGAACAGAGGATTTCATAACCTGACTGTTAGGAATAGAGCAGCGTTGAAACTCCTACTGTTGTGCTCGGCAGATACGTTACCTCTAGGACAGATTTCCTGTCTGCATGGATCTGCATGACGTTCTCTGCCCATTCCATGAGGGATTCTCCTCGYGGAACTTTCACCCTCTCATGCTTGAGGCGCCCCACGCGGAACTCGCCCGGGTCGTCGCGCCGCGCCGTGCTCGCGGTCCGCGTGCGCTCCACGGTGGCCTCGCGCCTGTTCTGCAGCCACACGATTGCTCTGGAGAACACACAGCACAAGCAGTTGGTACTTCACACGTGCACGTTTACTAGCATGGAAACTTGAAATTAGCCATTACAAAAGAGCTGCCTTGTTACATGCTAATTGCTGGGTGCTTTTACAATATATACCCAAGGCACCCATCACCAACAGCGAAGGGGGAAGTTGTCACAGGCTTTGGGACTGGTGGTGCAGCGCAGAGCTGCCACGTGGTGGCTGTTCTGCAAGCGTGGACAAGCACTGTGCTTGTCCACAATTAATTCACGATTTTAAAAGCTTAGGAAAGTTGAAAATACCCCAGAAAAAATGCATTCAGTATTTCCTGAGGCCTATCTTTAAAACACATTGTTTTCCTAAAACTCTTTCCTCCTTGATAGGCCATGGGTACACATGCCCACACCCTCTGCTGTGAGCATGCGCCACGTCCCATAGAAGCAGGAGACAAACATGCTACAAGTGCTCGGACAGCTTGGCCAGGCTCAAAAATCTGTGTCCTGGAGAGAGTTTAATACTCAGATCCACTGAGCAACTTCTGACMGCCCAAGACCAATTTTCTTGACCATTTTCAGAGGAAAAAGTCCAAAATTTTTATATTAGGAAGCTTGAAATAAACTGGTATGTCTTGCTAGTAACAAGCATGGAAAATGCTGGCTCTTTTCTCTTTGCTTTTGTGCTTTTTAATGCAACTTTTCACATTAATTCTTGAGGTGTTTCTCGATGCAAGCTAGACACAACCATAATACTTGCATCTCACTGCCTATATATTTTCTACCTTTCAAAAAAAAAAAGAAAAAAAAAAGAAAAAAACAATTAATTCTTTTTTTCTCATTGTATAAAAATAAGCTGTCTAAAGGTCAGGCGTTGTCTTTGTTCTCTGATAACTCAGGTCCTGAGTTATTAACTGCTGCAATCAAAATATTAAGGATTCCTAGGCAAGGAAAAGCTTTCAGAGGGAACTGTTAAATGTTTAACCACCCACCTTCATTTATCTCTTTGTCAGTTCCATGATGCAAGTAATACTAACATTCAAAAGAGGATCAAGTTTGCTTTGTTAGACTTAATTGCATTAAAAATTAATGAAACAAAACAGCTACCAAATGACTACAGGAATCATAAAAGATGGTGTCTGGTTTCAAAAATAACATTTAACTATTCATCTCTAAAGCTGAACCATGTAATTGGCATTTATGCTAAGAAACTTTATTCTGCTTCCTACAACATTATGGAATCCACTATTACTGCAACCCAGTAAAACTGCTGCCTGACATGATGATCTAGCTACATGTGCACAAATAAGTCTTCATCTAATAATCTGAAAACCAAGATGAAATTCCCTGGACAGTACCAAGCCACAGAGAGGCTACTCATCACTAACCAGATGTAAAAAACAAGAAAGTGTTCAAAAATCTTTCTGAAGTTTCCCAGCACTTCCCTCTTTCTCTACATATGTTTTATGTTTGGAAAGCAACATCTCTCTCATTAGGATAAAGTCCTCTCCAACCTAGTACTCTGAAGAACTATAATAAAAAAGACAAAACAAAATAGCAATCTGACAATTATTCCCTTTTACCTGGATGCTCCAAACGCTGTGCATGTGAAGTACAACTGCCTAGTTTCAAAGGGGATCAAGAAAGGACACTTGCTGGTCAGCTGCTCACACCAGTCGGGCAAAGCTCCACTCGCTAGTGCCAAAGGTTCCTGGAGTTAAACACAAGGAGGTGGCGGGGGGACATTCCTAACRTTAGATTCAGACCCAATTCTGAGCTGCTTCCAAAGCAACCACTTGGAAGCACCTCATCAATGCACCTGCATTTTGTAGCACCAGCTACAACAGGGCGGCATCCAGGCGGGTTGGGAAGATCTCCAGAGAAGGAGACTCCACAACCTTCCTGGGCAGCCTGTTCCAGGGCTCTGTCACCCTCACAGGAAAGTTCTTCCTCACATGGAGACGGAACTTCCTGGGTTTCAGTTTATACCCTTGTCCTGTCACTGGCTACCACCAAGAAGAGTTTGGCCCCTCCTTCCCCACATTCTCCCCTCAGGTATTTGTACATGTTGATCAAATCCCCTCTCAATCTTCCCTTCTCCAGGYTAAACAGGCCCAGGTCGCTTAGTCTTTCCTCATAATACATTAACATAATACCTCAATCTGCTGCAGAATCTTTGTAGTAATTTTTTTGCTTGTGAATTCATCTGGTGGAAAGTTAAACTGAGGATGCTCATCTCCTTCTGCAAACACCAAAAGAAAGCTTTTACTTCATTTATTTTCATTAGAGCTTCAGAGGAGCAACACTAGGCAACTTACTGACCTTCCTGAGAGGTCCGGGCTGTGTAAGGATCACTGGCAACTATGTACAAAATGCGAAGCAGCTGCAGAACGTCTTCCACTCCACAGGAGTTCTGCCCACTGCCAGCTTTGGCCTGAGGTTGTTCCTTTGCCAAACTAAGGATATCAGAATTCTGAAGAGTAGAAATGGCTCCCTGGCTTAATCCAGATTTAGACCCATGTTCACAAAAATCCTGTTTAAAAATAAATAAGAATGAAAATTGCCTTCTATTTTTAAAACTGTGCATGCACCACAATGTAATCATTTGAAAAATGGGCCTGGTTACTGTCTCATGACTATAACACTTAATTCAGTTGCAGATGGTTGAAGTTGTGATTCAAATGCTTTTTGAACATTACTATATTCAAAGACATTAAAACAAACTTAAAAAAAAGAATAAAGATAAGGAGCAAAGACTAAACTTGATGCTGGAGTGTGAAAATACAGTTTCCTACCCACRCACCCCCTTCCACGAGAGCCGCCAAAGCTGCGGAACAAAGCACACAGCCATTCCCAATGAAGAAAACTGGTATGCAGACATATACCTTGTATGCTGCTATGAGCTGGGAACAATTTCTGTTTTTTCTAATGCTTTTATTAGTGCCAGTTAATTTCCAGTGGCGCAGGAAAGCCGAGTCTGCATTCTTCTGCAGGTAGGTTATCAAGTCATTCTTTGGTAACTCATCAGTGCCAAGGTACTGCTCCACATGCTCTATTGACCAGCAACCCTACAACAGGAACAACCAAACGGTGGCTTTTCCTGATTGTAAAGTCATAAAGGTTTCACATGCATCCTACACGTTTTCAAAAAAACCATGCATTTATTATGATATTCACTTGTATCCTCTAAATAGAGGAAACCTGTTAGTCTTTTTAATATAGCATTTCAAAAACTGCAATGAAGACATGTTTTGCTTCCACTTAAACAGCCACAAACACAGACACACCAAGGCAAAAAAGGCTTACCATCTTTCCACTTTCTTTCTCTTTATCCGAATCCTTCATTTCTCTGTACATGATTCTAAACATCAAAAATATGAGTTACTATTTTATATTTAGAGTACATTTTCTAAATACTGAAGTTATATTTGGAGTTTTTAGAACAGAATGACACTTTGCAGCAAAACACACGTGATTCTGTAATCCAGTAAAATTTGTTAACTCCTGTTTAAACTTGYATGACACAGACACTTATGTTGCAGAACAGTGCGTTTATGTTCCCTCCTGTGCTCCTCTAGGCTGAACAGCCCCAGCTCTCTCAGCCTCTTCTCGTATGGGGGATACTCCAAGCCCRTGAACATCTTTGTGGTCCTGAACTGGCTTCTGTAGGGCCCTGAGACAGGCCCTGCTCAAGGGAGGTCAGAATTGGACACAGACTCAAGACGCGACCTCAGCAGCAGGGAGGAAGGTCCTGCCAGCTCAAGCTGCTCCCTGGCCACATGCTGCCTAAGCCCTCCCCAAGGGCAGCACCTTGGCACTTCCCTATGCCGAATCCTTTGAGGTTCCCACTTCAGATGCCTATTTTTCCAGCTTGCTAAGGTGCCTTTCAACAGTGAAACAACCATCTGGGGCACCAACCATTGGCCACAGCTTTGTAGCATCTGCAAACCTTCTGCAGGTGCTCCCTACCSCATCATCCACATGATTAATCCATAGATCAGTCAGAATTGGCCATAGGAATGACTGGCCTCCAGATGGGATTTGGGCTGTTCATCACAACCCTCAAGCCTGAAAGTTMAGCCAGTTCTCAGCCTACTCCATGGTCCAATCATGACCTTTGGTCATAACCTTTCAAAGACAACAGAAAGCATCCAGCTCACTGAGCACCTATGGGTGCAGCCCATCAGGTCCCATTCACTTGTGCATGCCAGCTTATTTAAAGTGTTTCCTAACSTGTTGCCCTTCACTCTCCTCACTAGGTTCAACTCCAGATGGATTTGGGGCTTTCCTAACCACATTCCCGTGTGCCTACACAGTGTTTCTAAACCGCCCTTAAGTAACCTGAACCCGCTTCCACTTTTGGAATGTTTCCTTTTGCCTTTGAGTTTTGTCAAGAGCAAGGTCAGTCATGCAGATTCCTGCTGTCTTTGCTCAACTTTCTGTGCATCAAGACAGACTACGTGAGCAGGAGGGAAGGACTCTTCAGAGTCAGCTGACTCTCCTGGCACTCCTGATTCTTCTCTCCAGAACTATAATCCTATAAGACTCTTCCAAGATGATTCCTAAAGAGGATGAATTCTGCTCTCCTGTCAGTTTTGAAATATTAATAAGAAGTCACAAGTGGACATTACAAGTTGTGATTTTTTTTTGGCTTCAAAGTAATCACAGCTCTAAAGCCAAAAAGAACTTGCTAACATAGCAAAAGAAAAATTAAATCTAGAACTATTGTCTACAGAAGGAAAAAAAACCCCAACATAATATTGTTTCACACCTCTTTTCTGAGCAGTTAGTTCTTAACGTTGTTTTATAGAGAATAATAAAYTTGTGAGCTTACGTGTATGTTGGCTCCCAAATACGTCTAAGTTTGTCCGATTTCACGTTACCGTTACAAGAAAGCTGTAACAGCTTCTGCACATAATAAAAGATGGTGGAGCGAAAGTTGGTTAGGGGCAACTCTACTTCCCGGGTTGTTCCGAGGCCCGAAACTTTCAGGGTGAGCGCCAGGCGGGGTGAGGGCAGGCACTCCACCTCCTCCAGAAGCTCCGAGTGAGGGGTACCTGCACGGGCAAAAACATCCGARAAGTCGTTCATAAAAGACACAAAGCAAGACAAGCTGGCTTAAATATCAATAAAATGACTCAAAAAAAGTAAGTGTAAAGTCTTCCTGCACATATGCCAAAAAGCTGTCAGAGAAGTCCTACTACAATTCAGTATGTGATTAAAGCTAACATCTTTGAAATCCCTATTTATCCCTTTGTCTTGACAACACCCTCTTTGACATTAACACAGCACTTGCACTCTTCCCCTTATGCACAGGATCTCCTGTTACATTAACTGCTTTCGACTCCCCCAAACCCGCAGCGGCTCCATTGCCACGTGTGCCCGTGCCGCTCCGGAAGGCGCAGGGAATGCACCGCAACAGGAGAGCGCTAAGGAGCCCAAGCACATGCCAGGCAAACACCCAGGCCGGCCCTGCAGTCGTACTTGCTAGGTTAGCTTCTCCCTGGCTTCTGCTTTGGACTGTTTCCATGAGTCTTCACCAAATTAAAGCTATCCTGGGACCGCTCAGTATACAGAACTTCCCCTCTAAGTGGGAGCAGACAGAGCAAGAAATCTACCACTAATGGGAGATTCTGAATTCACGAGTATGCTTATCTCACACAGCATTTAATTTACTTTTCCTCAGATGACACTTAGATCTGCAGAGGCAGAGTAAATTCTTATTCAAAGAGGAAAGTCAAAGAGCCCCAAGAGTACAGGGTACCAAATAATAACGACAGGGTCCCGAGCCTCCCGTGGGGCCYCGAACCATCCCAGGGCTCAGCAGCTCAGCTGGCGAACCTGGCGGAGGGATCTCTAAGTCCGTGGTCTGCTGAACATTAGTTCGACCAGGTCTTGGGTCAAAAGCAGGAACCAAAGCAGAAAACTGCCTTTTCAACACGTAATCATCATCCCATGTTCTTCTACGACCTCCTTTCGTTTCATACTCCTCTTCTTCCTATTAAAAAAAAAGGTTTGAACCACTTGATCAAAAATTTGAGATTTACGGAATACAGTAGTAAACCAAAGCTGACAATCAAGATAGCAAAGCTGGTGTGCAACTGTATCAATTCCATTTTATTGATCAAGCAGGAATCARGGAAATTAAGCAAAATTGCTCACAAGCAGTATTACTGGGCTAACCTTAGAACAGGGTCTACAATTTCTGTAAGAATTAAATCTCTCATGCAGCATCAAAACAACACAAGGAAACACCAAGCTGGGCAGACTGAGCCATAAGGCTTTGGAATATCAGAAAGATTCAATTAACCAGTAGGGTCAAAATAAACTGAACTTTTCTAAAACCAGTAACTTTTTTTTTATRTATAGATATACAATGTACACACATTTATCCACAGATGACATCAAATACCAAAATACTGGATTCATCATAGTAGATGATGAAATCTAATTCTCAACAATTCTTAGAAAATACAAATTCCTCATGCTTTATTTAAAACAGGCATTTAGCCTGTTCAAATCCTTGAGGAGAAGAATTACACAGTATATCTGAAGGAAGAGAACYGGAATCTATGAGCAGGATGGGTTTCTTTTGCAGACCTGATTCCTGCTATTTAACCTTAAGCAAAGATTATGGTGCCATTTCTCCTCCCTCCTGTGAACTACAATAGCAATTCCATCCAATGACTTCTCAGAAGCAACCCCTACAAACCCTTCTGCATCACAGCTCTGTTTATGCAGTATCCCATTTTTCCATTGCTCCTAACTTTGTATCTTTGAGCGRGTGAGATAAAGCAGTATTTAGTGAGGTAGGTGAGTTTCTATTCGCTACATAATCACAGTAGGTTAAAATGCCTAGATACTTCGTTAAAATGTGTATTAATCACAAATAGCTGATATAATCTCAGAGAATATTAACTATTTTATTCTATTAATTAATTCTGACTAATTCACATCAGTTATAATAGCAAACCTTAAATTATCATTCAAGGATTCTTCATACCAGAGTCAAATGAAAAGACACAAATTAAAACAATAGGAAAGACCTATGCAGACTGTTTGCCCTTGTGACCTGTTTAACTTTTCATAAAAGATATATTTCAACCTACATACTTGACAGGGTAACAGTAAAACACATCCTGGAGCCACTACAAAATCCAGCAGCCTGCCTTCAAAACTCCTCCTTCCATCCGCTGGCTAACTTGGGATCCATCATTTCTACGGCCTTGTTTCCAGGCCCCTTCCTTTTAAGACGTTAGCTTTGGCGTGCAAAGTCTAAGGTCTGGTAGTTTCCAGAAACTGCTTTCCCCACGTGCAGTGTGGAAAGCACCACAGTGTGGTGAATTTGTGCAGAAAGGGCCTGCCCTGCCAGCTGTGATGCTGCGTGAGACCTTGCAAGTTCAGCACATCCACTTTAATGTGCAGATAACAGCACACATCAGAAAATATCTAAGAACAGGGAAAAGGAAGTATATTCTAAAAGTCTTTTTTAGTAGGGACTCTATTTTTCCTGTTCTGTATGTTCTATTCACACAGATGATATCTGAATTAATGACTTTACTGTACCATAACTTCCTCATATTCTTGGTCTTCTTGATTATCATCTTCATTTTCATCATCTTCTTCATCTGGCTCAGGTAGATCCTCATCATCATCCAACTCTGCCAAGAGGGTACTAGCTCGGCAGCTATCAAGAAAATCTACATATATACATATATACGCATTTACGGAGGAGGAAAAGAAGAAAGAGATAAGAATTACTCCAAGTATAATTTTGAAATTAAGAATAGGAGCATTGGTGATACAAAAAAAAAAAAAACAAATCTCGCTTAAAAAAACAGCAAATAGAACTAAAATATTGCTGATGGCATGAAAAAACTAACAGCTCTGATAAAAGCATACTCTGACAAAAATCCAGGGAGGGTCTAGTTCAATAGCTCAACTAACAAAAGAAATATTTAATTTTATTATGATTAAGAGTAATCAGCAACTTATTTTCCATTTGCCTATAATCAAGCATTGTATAATTTTACTTAAACGTACAATGGAACACAAAAACAGATACAAAAACGTACACTAATTTTATCCTTAACTAAAAGAGGAACACTGCTGTGYTTTCCACTAAGAATGTGTAGCTTGCACCTCAAGCTGTAACACAAAGAACCTTTAAAAACACTTAATAACAATATTTTATGATTATGCATAACTAATAACTAATGCATTTCTGTAAAAAGCTGCAGAGACACAATAATTTCATTTTACCCACCTAGTACACAGATTCATATAAACTAAATAAAATTAAAATTAAATAAAACACACCCAGAAATTCATAGCTGTTCAACATAGACTGTAATAGAGATAAATCTTTGCACTGTAACTTTTTCTTTAATACACAAACTATGCATCTAACACAAACACTACCTGAATTGCTTTCAAGGTACCAAGAAAAACTTTACAGACGACTCCCAAAACTATTAACCTAGTTGTTCATGATATACTTTAAAAATTGCCACCCAATCAAAATCTAAAATGACACTTATTACAATTTAAAAGAACAAATGGAAATGGCACACCCTGGTATCTTTTAAGCAAGCCCTCCACAGGGCTTTATTCCAGTGCCCATTTAAATTGTCGGCTTTTTGTTTCCACAACTAATTTCCATGGCTTTTAAGCATGGTTTTCACTCGGCTTGGACAACTAACATGATCTTTCCCAGGACTCAAACCTTCCAAACACCTACAGCCCTGATAGCTAAATTTAACACAGAGTGCCCATGTAACTCTGGATTTTGATCACTGAATTATGTAATGCCATTTTCCCAGTCATTTTAATTCCTGGGTTTCAACTTGTCACAGCTACAGTATGATTATTAAATTCACAAACGCTTCACTCCCAACTGCCTCCCCCGATAATCACATCCTCTCATGTTCATATCTGGGGCAGCTATTCCTAAATTTTATCTCTAACATTTTAGAGAGAGYAGACTGAAAAATATACTTGTAGCACATAATATGTCTAACGGCCAGTGCTCTTCTATCTCAGAATAATGTTGGGTACCTCAAACTGAGCATATAAGATGCTAATACAATTTCCAAAAATAGGTGGTTAAGTAGAGGCCAATAACCAAATAAATTAGATACTAAATACAACTGATTAAGGATAATTAAGTGMCTAAATAAAGCATAGTATAAATAATAAGTATAAATGAATAAAACATATGCATAATAAGCACAGAAATTACTGAATTACAGAGAACTAAAMGCAAAGAAATAATAGGATTTTAACATTATTTAACTTGAGTCTTGAGTATTACCTTACAGGGCTAGCAAAACATGAGCTTTCAYGTACTTTTCAGAAAGTAAAATAAAACAAAATACTACATGAGAAAGTAGCAAAGGGAGAAAAGGAAAAAAAGAAAAAAGAAATCAGTCATGGGAGGTCTGCTTAAGTTCATTTAAAAATGAAACTTACCATATAAAGAATATTCTGCCTCCTGCCCTGTATCGCTCTCACTAGATGTTGATGTTAGGCTAGTAGTTAGGGTATTACTAAGCGACTGACCAACAGACAAAACTGTAGTTGCTGTAGCTACATTGCTGCTGCTAGTAACACTGGATGTAGACATGGTCACTGTTGAGGTGGTACCAGTTGTAGTCAGATTGGGAAAACTTTGGGCACCCATAAGAGGAGAAGCTATAGATAAAGATATGGTAAAATAAAATAAATGATTTGACGATTGAAAAGTACAATTTACATGCACGAGTCCTGTGTTGAAAAAGATACTTGGGCTTTAAAAATCACCAGCGGTAACGTGTTATTTTACAACAAGGAATAACAGAAACTAAAGAAGAAGGAACTGCCCGTGCAAACGTGCACGCTGCAAGCTAGGTGCCCACTTCAGAGTATATTCCCTTACACACATTTAAGGCAAATGATTTTATTAAATAAATCCCAGAATCTCACTATAAATCTGAAATTACTTCATTCATTTTGTTTAGAGAGGAAGCAACAGGTACAAAGTACTACGGAAATCTGCTCATGACCTATTTTATCTCTAACGTCTATATAATGTAAGCTATAGAGGAAAATCAATTGAGCTATAAATGAGTTTTAAAAAACAGACATTACAAACTAATAGTATTTGTGCATTTTTCTTAAAATAACTCTGAACTTCTACCTTTTGCACAACTATTAGTGCATTTCTTCATCATGAGTAGAAAGCTCGAGTGTAAAAAAAGCGTAACATTTTAACTCTGTTGAACAGTATATACGAAATAATTTTCAAACTAAGCAAACAATAACTAAGACATCACCTCACTACACATTCCACTAAGCAGGACGAATGCATGGCATTTTAATAACTGAAAGAAAACTCATTGCAATTCAATAGAAAGAATTTCAGAGATGTACATTACCCATATAGAATTTCAGAGATGTGCATGGTTAATGCACATCTCTGAAATGATCTATGTTTCATTTATGAGCAATTACACATTACCCTCTCAATCCTGGAAACATTCACCCACATTCCGACTTTCAAATACAGGGAGTTAATCACATGTTCTCATGCACATACTTGAGGGCTTAGCTATTCTTAAGTTTAATCCCTACATTCTTCAATCTACTTTTTAAAGAATCTACCAAATGCAAATTCTGCAGTTAAAGTAGTAAGCTCTTCCCTTACTGCAACTTATACAAACTGAAGCATCACTTGAAAAAAAGATACAACCAATAAATAATTTCAGATTACTGCTTCTGATTAAACCTTTACAACTAACCTGTTTAAAYACAAACCAAAAGATTTTCTCTCAAGTCAGTTTGGTAATAACATCTCTGCTTTTAGTTGTGTTACTGTCAGATGTTGCCCTCCACACGCAGGAAGCAACAGAGTGAAATTTGGAGGTAGGAGTGTTATGCAAGCTACACACTCATCTCCGAGAACAAGAAAGCAGGGAAAATTCCTGATTTTAGTTTTGTTTAAGAAGAAGAAAGTTCTAAGCTCAAAAATCTGCAAACAAGCCGTCCAGTGGGCACCTCTTGATCCCCTCCCATTGACTACCAGGGGCCAACGCCCCGCGGGTGCAACGGGGCAGAGGAGCCATCGGGCAGCCGCCCTTGGCTTGCCCGGCTCTCCCGAGGGAGCAGAGGCCGCCTGGCCCAGGCCCCGTCCAACTGCTGCCAAGCCCRGTGCTCCCAAAGGCAACCGCGGCCCAAGGGACTCACGTCACTACCTGCCATCTCAGGTATTTTTCCAGCCTTTTTTTTTTTTTTTTTTTCCCTTTTGAGGAAAATACAAACTTTTTACAAGGCACTATAGATAACTTGGGCAAAATTGGTCAAATTTAGCTTTCTGAGGTACAAGTTCGCATTTATATCTTCTTTCTGCAACAAATCTATCAAATAACTCTTTTTTCTCTTTTCTTTTTTTTTTCCTACAAGGGATGACTTTAAAAGTACCAGTGTCTTTTAATATTAAGAACATAGTAAAGGAATGCATTTTTTTTCTAACTTTATATTTATAACTTTATATTTTTAAATATTTTTTCTAGCTTTATGGCTGCAAGGTATTAACGATGCATGAAGGCTGGCAAACACTCTGTGAAATCCTTACAACACATATCAAAGCTTCTCTCTTTCTCCCTAACACAAACTACTTAAAAAGAGCAAATAATGGAGGTCTGCCCTTGGTTATCTTACCAACTACCTTATTGTCCTCCAAGGTGCAAGAATAAATATGAAAGTAAGAACAGAYGGGAAAATACTCCCCAACGTAAAACAAAAAAGGAAAAAAACAAAACAAATGTCATTTTGAAAAGACACAAAATTAAGAAAGCTAAAAAATACATAAAAAGTGTAAAAAAAGGCGTAAGAGTCTGATAAAAAATATGAGTGCTTCTTTCCATGTATTTTTCCTAACCTGCCTACCTCAGGTGATGCAGTTCTCCATTTAAATACTATCCCCAACACTGAAGACCTGCTAGGGCCTTATTTCTCACGTGTAATTTGAAGACATGCAGAAGTTCGAGCACGTGCCTAAACCGATTTACATCAGTGTTAGCTACTAACTTCTTTAAAGTTACTGTGCCTGAGTGGTGTGCCACATTGCAGCCTTAGGACTGTACCATCTTTAGAAAGTACACATTTCGTTAAATTTAGTTTAACATGCTGAATTCACAGAAAAAATACATCATACTACAGTTGATGTTTTTCTTTTTACTGTGTCCTAAGCTTAGAGAAAGGATTCACAAGTTGCAGAAACTTCCTTCTCTGAGGAAAATGAAGAAATAGCAAAGTAGGGAGAGCAAAGGGGCGAGTTATGTCAATTTACCCAGTCAGCCAGGGAAGAGGGTATCCCACACTGGCTACTGTAGCCCGTCTCCCAGCCCCTGGAATGACATGATACCCTCACTCTTCCCAAGCTTGCGACACACATCAAAACCAATTTATTTTCTGCTTGGTGGTGGCACCACCAAAAGAAAAGGCAACATAAAATTCCCCAGTTGCAATGAACTCCAGGGACTCCCTGCGAGTTTTCTAAGTATGCACCAGACAGCAGCCGCTGCAGATTTATCTCCCTCTTAGGGCAACAGAACCCAAACTTCTAAACAAGGCCAAAGAGAAGCCTCAACCAAAAACAAGCAGAGCTTACTTACTCGCAGTGCTCATGACGTTCCTCCCCAGCGTATTGGTGTTGTTATCGCTGCTGCTTCGGCTCAAGTTCATGTTGTTGGTCGCGTTGGTGCGCGCGATGTTGGCCACCCGCCGCACGAAGGACTCCAGGCTGGACGTTTCGCGGGACGACAGGTTGGGGACGCTGGCGCTGGAGCTCATGGGCGCCCCGGCCGCCAGCAGAGAGCTCACCGAGAGCCTGTTGCTCGCCGAAGAGCTGAGCGGCCGCTGCGAAGCCGCCTCTTTATTGGTCAGCTCGGACACGGAGCTGACGTCGGGGGAGCTCACGCTAACGATCCCCATGGAGATGGCGCCGGCCTCGCCGCCCGGGCGCRCGCCCCCCTCGGGCCCTAGCTTCCTCTCTGCATTCTCGCTGCCTATGTCCGCTGTTAGGGTGCTGGTGCTGGCGCTGGACGAGGAGCCCACCTCGGCCTGCGGCACGCTATCAGCGGAGGACAGAACGACAATCGGCTCGTGGACGTCAGCGCCTGAAACTAGATTTTGCTCCATTACACTCTCTGATCTCCGCTCCATTTTGGTCGAGCCCATGCTGATGTCGCTGCTACTGGCCACGCTACACACAGAACTGCTGCTTCCTTTTCTACTTGAGGAGCCTGCAGCAGCAGTCGTCTTGTCTGGGCAGTTGTTTTTCACCAGGCTGCTCCATGACTGCGTTGTGCCTGAAACAGTGGATGAAACAGGTTTGGGTGATGCCGCTGAATCAGGGTCGTACCCTGGCGAAAGCTTGAGGTCAAACTTTCCTTCTGCGCCCATACGGTAAGAGTTAGAGCCACCAGCATCCCAGGTGACATCAATCCAGCCTGGAAAGGGACAGGAGTTTGTGAGATCCAGCAGAAAGCAGACAGGAGCGTGTCAGACAGTAGCTCCACAATGTGGGATCAGCTTCTCACAAGGGYTGTATCTCTGATTTAACAGAGCTACTAACCAGTCCTTAGCGCCAATTTTAAAGGAAGAGCCTTGCAATCTAAACAACTTGGCATTTTAAGATGCTGTCCAAATTAACATGACAAGCACGTGCCACAAACCATTAGCTCTGGCTCTGAGAATTACGCCAACAAGAAGTTTCCCCCAAGAGGGAGCCTGGCTTACTAGGACCTCTCAAAATGGCATGAAGATTAGATAGATATTCTATTATCAGAAGTGTACATTAAAATGCATCACCATAACTTTATTAATATCTGGCAAGAAATTACAATTCCTTCACAGACATATTACACACTGTTTTCCTCTGCGAGCTACTTATGCAGGAGCATATCTACACTACAGAGCACATCTTWTGAAATTGGTTAGTTTGGGATTTTTCATTCTTGTAGCACAACACAAAAGTGAGGCTGCTGATACTTTATGTTTCCAGTAATCAGAAGGCTCAACCAAGTATTTCTTATTCATACGAAAAGCCTTATGACAGTCAAGTAAATACTACTTAAATTAAAATTTTAGGGTTGTAAAAAGATTGTTTCATTGAATGCTAGAAGTCTACATTAGCAATATGTATATGCGTGTGTTTCCACATATATATGGAAAGAGATGATACTCTTCAATTTCTTTAGTAAAAGAYGAATTAAAGTAATTTTTACTACATTTTGTAATGTAGCAAAGCTACAAAGTTGAAGTTAATCTGTAAAATTTAATGAAATATAACAGAAGGACAGACAGTGCCTTTTTTTGCCTCATCATCTCAGCACAACCTCAGACTCATATAAAAAAAGAATTCTAGTACTTTTATTACATGTTAACTTAGTAAAGAAATTCAAGTACCATTACTTGAATTGATAAGCATTTTCTTTAAAAATAAATCTCTCAGGCTTAGTTGTCTTCTGTAACCTTAGACCAAATCCAAACAAAATGTCAGGTCCAAAGGCACATAGGTACCAAAACAAACGAGAAAGAATTTACAATAAAAAGTGAGTTAGCACAGTCAGGTGCTTGTTAAACCTTGTAACTATCTAAAAGCCATCTATTTTTAGACTAAAGCAGAAAAAAAATAGGAATTTATTAAAAATTATCACTCCAGTAGAAAAAAAGCATTTAAATGGATAAAGTTTTCAGATATGACAAGCAGCCATCTCATCTCCACATTAGCAAGCTCAGATCCCATTATTTTTGTACGATTTTATTCCATCTTATGTACTAGATGTGAATAGGTCGTGCCATTAAATGATGGAATTTTGAAGGGTGAAGTTGTCAGACAAATTTAAATATTTTTCTTGATTATATTTGCCATTTTTAAAATCAAATATCAAAAAAGAGAACGTCAAGTTCATACTACAGTTGAAAGCAGGACTTTTCTGCTCTATGAATATCTGCACAGAGTATTTTGAAAAAGCATAACCAAACTATTGTTCCTGCTTTGTAATTAGTATTTTAGGCAGAGGAACTACACAAACATTTTAAGGCATGTGCAACCTTTTAAATATATTGCACACCTGGAGCCTTCTTCCGTCACGTTCTACATTACAGTCCAAAGCAACTCAGTATTTGTCTAAACTTGTGAATAATCCCAAAAGAAGTGGGATACTACTTTTCAGTGTTCTATTCGTAAGAAAACTGTGGTAGGAATAAGGGTCTGACAACCTGAATTTTTGCAGCCTGGCATCATCCCTGGATACAGGAGACTCAATTTCACCTCTTTTTAAATGGAAAAGAGGTAATAAAATAGAGGAATAAAGGCACTGATCTAAACCATTTTTTTTGCAAAAATAGTTTGATTCTTACAAGTGAGAATATGGCTACGGATACTGTTCTGTCTCAAGAGCAAATATACTGATGATGGAGCAATTCCCTACAAGCTATACTGAATGGCTTCCAAAAGAAAAAGATCCAAGGAAGTTAAAAATAATGTTTTAAAGACTTTGTACATTGGACATTTCTCCATGTTAGACACCTGGCAACTCAACAAACATGAAGAAATGTGTAAAAAAAAAAAAAAAAAAAAATCTGCCTAGGAGGAAACCTAGAAGTTACAGAAGATGCTTCAGAAAGAAGGCAAGTCTTCTGTACCCAGAAAAAGGTGAGGAATGTGGTGAATGGGGGCAAGGTGGTCACCCCTTTTGAAGCCTCTTCAATATCCTGGCCTCCTGAGCACTGACCTCCTTGGCTGTTACTTTTCATGTCCTTTTTATTAACAAAGTAACAACCAGATCCCAATGAAGCTAGCAAGGTAGAAAAGGTAAAGGATAAAAGATGAGAAAAATGTTGCAAATGCTACGATYGTAGAAAAGAAGAAAGGTCACTTGAAATTTTGCAGGCACAAAGCTTAGCCAGATGATTTGCCTTTTTTTTTTTTAAATCTCTAACAAGTGTCTAAATAACAATTTGGTGTTATTCCTTTCATGCATTAAAATAAAAATTCAGAGAGGGACTGCCATAGTGACAAAAGTATTTCCCAAAATACTTAGAATTCAATCAACCAATTTCAAAGCACTACAAAGAAAATACGTTACCAAATCCACACCCAAAATGCAACAACACATGAGATAATGATGCATTCAGGCAGCCCGGGTAACTCTTGCTCACCATTATGCAGCTCTCCCGTGACGGTGCCTTCCCCCTGCGGGCTGCCGTCCTGATCCCGCCACTTCCAGTCGATCCCTCTGATCACGCGGGCTCCCGGCACCATGTATTTCAACACCTGGGAGCGCACGAGGCGGCGCTGCCGGCGCAGATTGGCCTCCGCCTCCTTCGCGGCTTTTCCTGCCAGAAACAAACCACAGGGAACCGACTGAAAAACAAAGCGGTATCAAATGGGCCATAATTCTTAATTAAACTTCTAGGCTGGTTTCTTTGTAAATCTGAATGTTTTCTTCCACTGAGTTTCAGGTGGCATTTTTGGTAGCACTCTCAATTAGCAATTAGGAGGTATGCAATCTGGTTCTTACCCAACTGATCTTCACACACTCCGTTCACAGTGCCATAGAGCTCAAATCCAGAGAGGGAGAGGTAGTGTGTCTGCCCACTGGCATTCTTGCCCATTTGTTTTATTCTAATGTGTCTCCAACCTTGTTTCTCATCCTTTGGAGGATCTAAAGGCCACGTTGCAGTAGACCTTTGATTACACAGRAGATGGTGGGGAGAGAGATACAGAAAGAAGTTGAGTATCGGCTCTGAGCATCTTTGGATTAAGTCAGAAAATCGCCAAAAAGAAACAAAAGTTAATAACTTTAAGACAAGCTCTGCATGAGTTCTGATACTCCCATTGTCTCCAAAGCCACCCGCACACCAGTCACAAGTGGCATTTGTGCTTTTCATCAGCACGTGGCCCAGACAGAGAGTTTATAGATCACATTTCCCTGCCCATCCTTGGTAACTTAAGTAATTTATCATTCCCTTGTGCAGCTGTGTATTACACCTACTGCACATGTTACATTAGTCTAGGCCCCAGCATCTYTTAAACTGAGCACATTTTTATAAAAAATGGTAGGATAAATTCACATACCCTGGCTCGTTGAGACTACAGTCATCAACATGAGTATACAAAGTTGTCCAGTTCTGGCCATCCTTAGACACCTGGAAAACCCAGTTTCTGAGAGCAGATCTTCCRTAACCTCGAGCGTGACGTAATGTATAAGCCGATGGTATAACCCAAAGGCCAAGATCTATGGCAAACCAAGCATTCTTATCATCGTTAGTATGACAATTGAGGGCTGAACTGTCACGGCTTAGGATGTCTTCTAAACGGCCATAAGGCAGATTTCTTCCTTCTGAGGATGTAACCACTACTAAACCATAGGCTGCTGGGTTTACCCACTCATATGCAGTTCTATATTAAAAAGAGAAACGTACTGTTCAATTATTACTTACATTAAAAACAGATATCAATAACATTTCGCTCTAAACTGAAGATTACAGCTTGGTTTATTACAAACTGGAATAATTAAGATCATCTTATGCAGTTAGAAAGCTTTTTAGAGATGATCCAAAATATCACTTTTTTATAATGGTTAAAAAAAACAACTAAACAACCAAAATCATTGAACCAAATGAACAATAACAAAAAAGAAATTTCCTATCCTTTAACTTCTTAGGTAAGCATACAGAGATTTGCACTTCTCTATTACTTAAGTAGAGCAAAAAGAACTGTAATTCTACAGATCCATAGCAAAAGCAAAGATAGGGCATTCTTGCCAAAACCAGAAATCCCACAGCACAGACTTCATTTCATCAGGGTTTTTTTCCCCTCCCCCACAGATCAGTTTATTATATTTGACTTCAAAATACTTGGATCTATGAAGAAACTCACTTTGCATTTGTCCCAATCCAATAAATAATTCCATTTTCATCAAAATCATGTTGATGCCTGAATACAAACGTTTGCCCTTCGCGCAGCTTTCGTACAAAAACAAATGAAGCCCTGTCRAAGTCGTACCATTGCTTTGCTACCTAAATGAAAGGAAAGCAAAGGAAACGTTACAGCTGCAGAAGGCAACTAGCCTGTGCAAACCGTGCCTGGGGCACCTTGCTCACCATTTTCAGGAGATACTGCTCTAGAGACTCAACAGTCGCCAAGGGCTCCATCTTCAGCATCCTACCCGTTCGATCTATTAAAGAGGTCTCCCCAGAGGCACGTTCCAGACGAAACCGCAAACGCCGTGTTAGTATCTGCAACAACAGCTAAGCATTAACATGGCCTGCTCTTGCTCTGAATCTGTCAGTTTTAAGAAAAGCAAGATCTCTCATCATACACTTCTAGTGGTGTATCAAATTTATTTGTAATTCATTGATTTTTTTAGTTGAGCAATGCAGTGTTTTTTAATTTAATGCTTTAATAATCCACTAGTACTCCAACTTTTAAAAACGGATTATACTTTTTATTAGTAAAGAACTGTTAATCAACAGCGTATTTAAGTGAATATTTGCTGACACTCTTGATGTCTTTTCCTAGCTCCTTCCTTGCAGATTAAAGCAAGTAATAACAAAATATGAAAATAGTTTTAAAGTATATTCATTAGCAGTGTTTCTGTTACTTCCTGCAATTATTTTTTGATAATGAAAAATAAATAGAAATATTTGCACTTCAATGGCATCTCACAAAGTCAGGCTGCACATTCAAATACAAAAAAACCTTACACTTCATATAAGCTAAAAGAAACAGGAGCAAGATGTTTCGCGAAGTTAGAGCTTTCCATTTTAAGAAGAATCCTCCAACTATCACGTTACCAAACGCACACACAGCCTAGAGGTGATGCTTTCAACCATCATAGTCCACCTCAAGTCATCACAAATAAACAGGTGTAATAATCATGTTTGACAAAATTACTGCTTTTGGATGTAGTTACACTCTGGTAGTGAGGACACTTATGCAGTGAGCATATCCCTGGATAGAAAGGAAAATATTTGGAAGAGACAATGTGTTTGTTCTTTCTCTTGTCCTCAACTAGCATTTTCTCTTTATAGTTAAAAAAAGAGAATGACAGTTGAAGTGAGCATTTAGGTTAGGCTGGAAAGACTAAAGAACAGAACTAGGGAATGTTTTCCTACAATTCTATCCAGCTTTTGGGAAAACACAACCCATATCCATTTAGTACATGTCATTTTCCCTGAAATTCATACAAAACATTCAGCTGCATAAATAAGCAATGTCATATATTACTATCACTTTATATTTACCTGAAGATTGTATGTGGAGCCTGGTGTATCATACAAGTGGAGAGGTAGACGTTCAATAGATTCTAACACCGCTATCAGTTTCCGAATTAAAGCAACTGCTGGGCGACTGGGAAAGTTGTGACAGTTATTAGGTTACTGCACAGCAAGAAAAGATGACTCTACAATTTCTTAGACAGAAGTGCTCTTGTGCTGCTGGATTTTTGGGGTTTTTTTTGTTTGTTTTGTTTTTCTGTTCTTAACTGAGGAGACAACAACGCGATGTCTCAAGTAAACTCACATGAAATGATACTTCAAATTCAGACTCAAATTATTTTTCAGTTCATTTCAGTTTTTCCCTGCTTTTATGTAGTTTTATTTTTTTAATTAAAGGGATGGCACTAATCCAGATAATTTAGTTCATTCACCATGAAAAAGTGCTTGTATCACAGTAAGAAAACATTAAYCTGCACATGCACATACTTAAGTGATAAACAACCACCTTTATCTCTACCCACAGGCACGCACACAACATAGTTGGCTATTACAGATCAAAGTAATTATGTAAAATTTTTAATTGCTAGCTCAGGAACAAATGTTGTATTTTGAGGCTAATCTTCCTATTTCATGTGAAAAAGACCAAAGCTAAAAATGGGAGGACTGTTTCTTCATCTTAAATTTCTTTTTTTTTTTTATGAAGTGGTAAAGCACTGCATATTTACCTTTCATCATCTTCGTTTTCACTGAAAGCTGTTTTGAACACGTTTATTCTCTCTACTAGTTGACTACAATCTTGCTTCACATCTAAATCAACATTCTAAGAGGAAAAAAAAAGTATTTTAAAACAAAACAACTTATATGTACACTCTTTATCCTGGAAAGGTATCTGTCTAGGCTAATTTATTTCCATATTTAAAAATCTTTATGCCGAAAGTTTAATGGCTGATGCCATTAAACTGGCTAATGTTGACTTAAAGATCTGTAATGGCTTATTTGAACTTGGGACTTCCCTAAATAAATTAATACATTGGAATAAAAAAATGTTCAGTAGGTAAAATTACTAACTAGTGCAAATCTACTCTGTTTTAATAATGAGAGCAAAAAGACACATTTACTTTTAACAGATCTTAACTGAGGTCTATATCTAATAACAGAAAAAAAAANTTTTTTTTTTTTTTTTTTTTTTTTTTACAAATGCTTGTGCTCTGTAGACTCACATTATTTAGAACTGTAAGTAGTGATTGAACTAAGCCACTACTACACATTTCATACGGAGAAATAGTGTTCTCATCTTTCAATAGGACAATTAAATTTTCCAAAGCAGTCTTCATTAAATCTCTCCAAGTATTTTCACCTTCAATGCACTGGAAGACAAAAAGACAATGAGAGTGAGACATGTGGAAAGTTTTTCTTTCAATTGCTTCATTTGAAAAATAACATCCGGGTCAAGCACATAACTAGTAAATACATCATTAAAGAAACACAAGTGTCACGAACAGACACGCTGTGACTTTCCTTTACGGCATGACCCTGACTAGTTGGAGCATTATTGTAGGCTTTTTCACTACCACTACAAACGTTAGAGGCACGAACGTAAAGGAGATAGGAGATGCACTTACCTGCCTGTTCGTATGAAGCTCCCAGGAGGACTCCAGCTGCGTGGCTATGTTCCTCAGCGTTACGACCACCCCTCGAGGCATGCTTTCCACTGCTTTAAAATGGTCATCATACAAATCTCTTGCCATAGTGCGTACCTGGAATACATTTTTGCCATCAGAAATCACACTGCATATATACCAAACTGCACATATAAAGACTAATCTCCAAGTATTCTTCACAATTGTCATTTTCTCTCTCCCCTCCCTGCTGCCTTCTCCTCGAAAAAAATCAACAACATAGAAAAATAGGGAAGAACAGAAATCTACCTAAAACTCATCATGAAATTCACAAAGGCACAAAACATTTTGCTGAAACTTGCAAAAATTAAGCTTACTGTTAAACAATTAGATTCACAAAGGGAGGTAGAACAGACAGAGCYCTTGATCTGTAAATTTGTATCTTTAAATTTCTATCAGAGATCTGGAAAAGGAATTATTAGATGGTTTCTGAATGATTATTCACATTTTTAAAACTGTTTACACAAGTCATTAGATGACTGTATGTTTATGAAGGTAAGAATTATTTTCCACAGAACACATGGGGACAGATTTTACAAAACAAATTATAAGCAAAGATTTGCTTTTAAGAGACCTTCCCAAGAATCTCTGCTTGGTATTATCAACACATGCCTTAAAAATAAAAGGCACCTCTCAATCTCTGGACCTATTTTATACAGCATAATCTCAGATATGGAACAGCTCTATCTTACTGTTACCATTCAACCTCTCTTCATTCAGACAGCAATTTGATTTTGAATTCAGTGTCACACTTTCTCACTCATGTTGTCTATATAAAGCAGAAGGCACCTCAGAAACTATAAGAGAAGTTGAGATTCAGGGTCTGCCTGAGCTTTTGGCATCAACTGGACACAAACTGCTACTAAGGGGTTTTGTAAAAAATCTTAAAACTTGATTTCTTATRTCCTATATCTTTTCTCAGAAACTTTTAATTCAAAGTTCTTGGTCAAAACAAAATCATCAAATTATTTAGAAAAAAGGATTATGGAACGTCAACAACTAAGTATCATGGTTTCAACTCTAAATCAATTACAAAGCTTTCATCAAATCAAAATGAGAAGAGAAACAAGTTGTGAAAAAAAACATGAAGTAGATATTCTAATAATTTCTGAAGTAAGTATTCACAAGAGGTAAGTACATTGATCACCATACCTTTCCCTTCTAAGTAAAAGAAAAAAAAATCAGAATTATTCACATGTGGGCTAGGAAAATTGGCTGAGCAAATTATTCTGAGTAAAATTTCCCCCTTCAGAGCTTAACATGGAACTACATATAGTYGAAATCAGAGATTCTGATCATTTAATAGAAGTCAAGTCTGTAAGCATATCAAAATAAATTCTAAGTATAAAATCCAGAGATGCTCACCAACCTTTTGCTTTGTCTTCTCCAGTTTAGATTTCAGCTTTCTTCCTCTTTTGCCAGTCCATCCAGTCACAAATTCTGAGCCTGTAAACATATTTTAAAGAGTGATTCTCCTACAGACAAAAAATAAAATAAATAAAAAAACCCTCCCTAAACTACCTCACACGCACTCGCATTCACCCACACACTACACAGCTATATCTGCACTTACCCAAAGAGGTTTCAGCTGTAAACGAATGTTTTGTCCCTCTGTTAGACTCAAAAACAAAGCCTGGCAGATCTTCCTTGAGAATCGTAGCCTGCTGCCCATCTGAGTTGTGGATAGCGATCTCGCCTTCCTTCAAGCACGTGAGCGACCAGTTTCCCACAGTGAGTTTAGCTGGCCCTGGGGCTGATAAAATGGGCTGGCTCGGGGTAGACGGCTTCACCTGACTGCGAGCTCTCTGCAGCTTCTCCAGGAATTCACTCCTGCTTTCTATGTAAAAAAGAAACATTTTTTTTTTCCTAGCAAGTGATTTCACTTATCTCATCCCAAGCTTCCCCCCAGGAGCAGGATGACTTAGTACATTCAATGCAAAATTCATTTTGAAATTAAGAGTCTTAAAATACTCTAAACTTCCAACTACAAGTCACATACTCCAACAGTGACTTATTTCACAATCACGTTGAAATGGACACTGCAACTCTTTCTGAATGGTGCTGTTGACTGATGTATTAATTACACTTAAAGTGCAGACTTAGATTAATATATCTGTCAACGGGCGTAAGATGTTTAAGTAAGACATCTTCAGATGTTTAAGTAAGACATCTTCAGATGTTTAAGTAAGACATCTTCAAGTGACGTGTAAAATCTTCAAGTGTAAAATCTTCCAGTGTAAAATGAAGAAAATTTACACAGATCTATAGTATCCTTTTACTCTTGAAAAATAATTATTGCCAACATGAATTATTCTCATAAGTGTGTTTTAGAAAGGGAGATTAAGCACTCCATGAACACTCCAGCAGGAAAACAGCAACTAACTTCCAAGTTCAAAAGTGGAGAAAAAGACGTCAAAGTCATATAGAATGAGGAAAAAAAGAAGTTACATAACTCAGGGTTTGGTAAGCATGTGGCAAACGCAAATTTAAGCTGACRGCCATTTGCTCAGCTTGACAATCACAAAGGCATGGTATTTCTTGAGAAGCTCTGTTAAAACTTTCATCTCCTTTCTAAGAATTCTACATTCACTTCAGAGAAAAGGAGAAGGCCACAATTACATAACTTAATGCAGCTAGGCTGTATTAATTCAGTAGGCTATTATAATGCAGATACTCCGTTCCTTTTTTCAGCAMCTATTTTCAGTCCTTCTTCATCTCAGACAAAAATGTGAAATAATTCTCATGGCACCAAATGAAGATGGACAAAAAGCAAATATTTATATAAAGGTATCGTGCAAGGACAACAGGATTGTGTTGTGCTTTTGAACATGGTGGTAACCTAGTTTAAAGTTTCTTGAAAACACTTCTTTTTTTAATTTTCCGTTTTTTAATTATTATTATTTTTAATTATAAGATCACATACAATGTTCAAAAGGTTAAAATAATGCCTGAAATTGAGAGGAAATAAAAAGAAAAAGAAAAAGAAAAAAAGAAAAAAGGCAATAATTCACGGTAAAAAAATGCGTCTCTGCTTCAAAGTTAACCAGGATCCTCTTTTTCCTGTAGACTCATCTGATAAATGCAACTTCTCTTGCAATTCATGTGTATATAAAATTGCTGTTTTCCTTTTGCTGGCATAACTTATGCACTATGCTTTCGAATTCTGTAGTTTTTCATGTATAAAACAAAGACAATTCTATCTGTATACCATTTGAGACAAAAATCTTTCCTTCATTACTTAAAATTCTTAACATCCAGGAAGGAGGCTTATAAAAAGAATTTTGAGGTTTTACAGGAAAAATTAAAACTTAGATTAATTCAATCTTTTTGATGCTTCATAGTTACAGTACTTAAATTCCAGTGATCACACACAGTTCMGAATTTCACAGATAGAAATAAATTCCCTGTGACTGAAATTTGAGACTTGTTTAAAGCTTCCGAATAACCATTAAATTTCAATTTTTGCATTGAATTTTTACATTTCTTTCTAAAAATTSAAACAAAACAAGTATCAAGGTAATGGGGAGAGGGGTGAGGACAGACCTTCTAAAAATATTCAAAGTATAAGAGCTCCTGTAACCAGTTTCCTTCTGGGCACAGTAACAAGTTCAACAGCTACAACCCTCTGCCTTCTTGCCAGTCAGTAAGTTACCAACACGCAGACCAGGAGCTTCATCAGCAAGGGTTTAGAAGAGCAGAACACATATTATAGTTCAGGACTAACATGTGGATAATGCTCTGGCTCCACTGGCCCCTCTACACGTTCAGTTTCAACAGTTATGGCCTCTGCAGCATTTAAACCAGAGGCCTTCACRCCACTCTGCAATGTCAGCACTCTCCGTAGACAAGGGCTTAAACAAAGAATAAATGAGGCTTCTTTTATTTCAGTGCCTTGCATAACATGGGAAATGTCTTACAAAAAAAGAGTCTTTGGATTTATTCATTCTCTACAAAAATGACTGAGCTGAAGAGACAAATTAATAGTCAGAGGGTTTTTTATGTTCTCTTCACTCCAGGTTCATSTGAATAATCACCACTTCTTATGTAAGAAGAGTGGAATGGAAAATCCTCTCCCTGTAATTCAGAAGCAACCATCAATCAGCATCCAGGGGCTACACAAAGTTAAACCTCACACTMGCTTAAAATTCTATGATAATAGAGAAGCATTTCAACACAAATTGTTTGCCTATGAAGGTATTTGCTTTGTTTGGAAAAATGGCACTAATACAATTCTGACAGGAAAAGTGAAAAAAGTCGCATTTTATATTAATGCCRCAAAGCTGATGGGTAAAGTCATTAGAACCTCATTTCTATCCTGAATTATAATATGTTCTGTGATTTCACACAGTGGCTTGCTGAAAACATAGTAGTATTACAAAGCATTTTATATGTCTCATAAATGCATTAAGTGCTGCAAAAAAGGTAACACAATGAGGGAGGGTTGTTTCTGCATTCCGAGGAAGTTGCATATTCCAGTCAGAATTAAAAGAAATAGGTATCACCAGGGCATAAGGTCTGTTCCCTAATCCTCTCTCCAACAAGCAGTTAAGACACTGTAACTTGTTTCCCCAGCTTGATGAGAAACTGCCCATTACTTTGTCTTCAAACACATGCAATTTCATTCTGCTAGCTAGAAGCAAACAACAAATTGCCATTTCAACCTGCTTTTCCTGGGGCRGCCACTAGAAAGTGCTTTTAATGACTGGGGTGAAAAAATTAAGTATGCATCAAGGAGAGCCAAAACAAAACGAAGTTAATACACTTTACTGGCAAGGTGTTTATTGAGCACTTAATTCACTAAGGAAGTCAAGTTATGGTCACATGCTAGCTGATGAAAAGCATCACAATTAACTGACCACCTTCCACCTGTTTACATCCTTTACTATTTAGAAAGCCAATTCCTGCAAAACAAAATAGCTCCAATCAAATTATACATACACAAACAAAATTGTCTCAAAACTTAGCTTGGATGTCAACTGAGGAGACACTACCTGAGCTATCGGATCCTCCTTCGGGGCTGCCACTGGAATACATCGTGGCCAGCTTCCCATCCAAGATGAACCTGAACCATCCGTTACTACCATTAGAGAGCTCCAGGGCTGCAGCATCACTCCAGATGTACAGGCAGTCCCTTCCCCTAATGATTGACCAGTCTCTCCAGTGATATGGTTTACCCTGTTGCAGCTCTTTTGCATCCTCCTGCGGTTCATCCTCCTGCAACAACATTGTATTAAGAAACAAAAAAAGCTCAAAAAATTATCTTGAAATGCACTCATCAACAGGATAGAAACTCGAAAGAACATATTCCCTTTTAGATTCACACTTAACTACTCAATAATTTCAGCCTACCAATGAGGCATCCAACTCTATTGGTAAGTGGTCTTGCAAGAACTAAAGAAAGAGAAACTTCACAGTGCTAACAGTTATTTCAACATCACTGAACAGCTAAAAGTATCTGAGTTGTCAACAATATAATTGTCAGAAGTTGGCAAATAATACACATTTTAAGACTTTTCACTAAGTAGAAAATATTTCTACACAGTTTTCTACATCTGGTTTGTATTTTCAATATATTCCCTAGAAAGCTTACAAACATCTGCAATTCCATGATATTTGCACAGTGGAAGAGGTGCATTCCTTTGAAAAGGGATTCATTTTGTTTCGCAGTCATTTTTCAAACCCTAGGCAAGTTGTCCACAGGAAGTATTTATGGACAGCAAAGTCAGCACATACCAATGTGCCAACAGCATATACCAATATACCAAGAGAAAACAAAGCTACAAAACTTTGAAAGAAARAGGCAATTTAACAGGAGACATAATAGTAGGGAATATTTTAATTAGCCACCTAGGTTGCTAAGACATAAGACACTTTCATAATATTAAAAACTGTATTAAAAGCCATCATTTTACAGGAAAAAAAAAATTCACTGCATACTTTCTCAGGCTTAGACTCCTCTTCATTCTCATCATCAGAAGATGGTCCTGCCAAAGTTGACACTTTACAGATTACACCAAGCCTAGCCAGCTGGTCCAGGAAAAGATCACCACCTTTATCCACCAAATCCCTTATGATTTGCAAGGCTAGCAAATGGCCATCATCATCATCCTGCAATAAATCAGCAATAGAAAGGAGATATTAAAGCAGAGATCTGTTTACTTGAAATTATCTTGACATGCTGAACTTCACACCTCACCATAAACACTCTAATGGTAATTATTAACAAATTGGGAACAACAAGCATAAAATTTCTTTTTGCACTGGTTATATAAGAGGACAGCATTTTCTTTTTTCCTACCTCTTGATCAAGAACTGTAGCTGTGATCTCAACCAGTATCGTGGGCAGATTGTGGCCAGCATCAGAGTCACAAACCTCTTTCAGCAGTGCTTCAGAACAAAAATGTATCATTTTTCTAATGAGGGCAAGACTTGCTTTCCTTAAAAAGAAGTTACAGAAAGAAGATTCTTACAAAACTAAAAATGAGGCTATCAAAGCAACAAAAAGCTAAAACTGCTTTTGCATGCCATTTATACATGTGCACAAAAATATAATTCTGAGAAGAGTTCCAGGCCTATTTACCAGACAAGAAGTCTCAGATTAATTCCAAAAATTTTTCACCTCCTGATCTTTTTGATTCTACAGTACTATGACAGGCTATTATGTTTTTTACACTCTTCAAATCCTTTTTATGCAAACTTATTCTTCATTTTGCCTTTGCCCACTGTCTTAGAGATGCCAATTCACTTGTGATTTATACAGGCTTCATCTCTCTTCCCGGTATTCCATTTCTTTCATATATTTCCAGAGTTGACTCAGATCTCTGGAATTTTAAAGTCTAAAATTATGACATGCAGTCATATCATAGTAAAAAACTAGAATTTGTTTGGAAGTCAATCAATTGTGTATAGGTTAAAAGAATTTTTTTTTTTTATTTGGGTGACATTTTGAAACATTATTTAGTCTGACGTAGATAGAAAACTTGAAAATATGGAGAAACAACCACTTCTGGTAGTCTGCAGTTAGTCACGCAYAAATTGTTAATACTGTTTCATTTGAAACAGCCCAGCTTCTGCTTCCTAGTAGAAGCTCCTGTGGAGTCTCTCTCCACTAAAGAGGACTTTTCTACCTTGTACTTTCACTACTCAAAGCACTTGTTCGTTGGGAACATTAGTAAGAGACTGAGCAAATGTTATGTTTGCAGAGGAAAAGACTTAAAAGTTGCTGGTCTTACACAGTTTATCACAGCCACTATGCCTGCAGTATTACTTCTAAAGTATTAAGCTAGATTAAATCCTTTTAGTTCGCTCAGTAAGGTGCATCCTGCTCAGCTGATTAGTAATTTAGCGCTCTCTGCATCCTCTTCTTTATTTTTCAGATGTAGTAGTTTTTAATGGAAAAAAATCCACTTTGGCATTTTTAATATAGTGTTTAAAAAAAATCAAAAGATACAGGGAAATTGCCTATTGTGACTATTACCTTATTGAAGGCAGCATAGTTTGTTGAAATGTTTGTGCAAACACAGGCAATAGTCTTTTCAAGTATATTGGTGCCATTTCTGGATCTCCTTTGGGTTCATTACATTCTTCTTCATCTTTGTTTGCATCTTTCTTTTTCTTTTCATCTCCTTTGTTGACAGGACACATCCAGTCCCCTACAAAACATTTATTCTTTAAACATTCAACAACAAGCAAATCTTTCAACAGAAGTAAAAAGCTCTCTTTACTAACATGCACGAAAAGAAATAGGCATTCCTGAAATGTAACATTTACACAAACAAGACTTCRGTAACAATTATCAGACATTTACATGAAAAGCTGGAGTCAGGTAAAAATATTTTTCATGAATCAAAATAGAGTAAAATGCTAAAAATAACTGAGTTGCAAGCAACTCTACTAGCAAAGAATATGAATTAAGACCTGCACTCACCTGGAGACTGTAGAATAGCTACTACTTCACTATGCCCCCTTTCACGAGCTTTGTCTAACGGGGTTTTTCCATCTTCATCTCTTAAATCAGGGTTTGCTCCATGTCGCAAGAGAGTCTGAGAATTTTTTTAAAGAAAAAAAGATTCCTCACTCCCAAAGAAATAAATCTGTTTTTCCATATCTCTCCAAAAGTTCTCTCATATTTGTATGCTAAGTTACATTATGTGCTTTTTAATAGCTGTAGAGCTAATATAAAGCTACTTTTATTCATATTATTAACCTACCACAACAAAAAATATGCCATTTCGATAAACCCTCTAAATAATTAACACATAAATACTTGAAAATATGCAATTCTTAAACAAACTACAGCAAAAAATATTTCCATAGAATAAGGCAAAATATCACTAGACAAGACTTCCTAGTACGTGACAGAAGTTTGCACCATACCTTTGCCACTTGCGGTCTTCCAAAACACGCTGCATAATGTAGCGAGGACGATCTCTGACCTCTGTTGACATCAGCACCTCTTTCACAGAGAAATTCTACCTGTTAAGCAAGAAGCAAATCACTTGTTTCATCTCCCTCTCTATATGAATAACCTAAGTTCAAGATTCAGTAAGATTAACTTACCATTTCCTGAGTTCCAAAGGCTGAGGCCCAGTTTAAAAGAGTTTGTCCTACATCATCCATAAAATTTACTTCAAAAGCTGAAAGATACAATTAAATAAAAAAATTAAAGCTTACAGCACCATACATTAAATATCTGTAGTGTCCCTTAAATAAATGTCAAATCTTGATTTATTTAAAAAAAAACTCCTACAAACCTATGGTATGAAAGTATTCATCTCCTTAACCACAATTCAAAAACAAAAACCAAATGTGAATTGTTACCAACTAGAACTGATGCATGTTTAAGAAAGCAAAAGAACTTGCATATAAATTGCTCATGAACAATTGAACTTTTATATAAAATATGCATGATGTTAGCCAAGTATCAGTATTGTGATGATGAGACATTAGTAATTATGAAAATAGAGATCTTGAAGACATTTATCTTATTATCTTTTCCAGGTACTTTTTCTCACCTCCTGTGTCAATAGCATCTATGAGGGCATCAGTATCCTTACTGCGGATGCAGTCTATCAGCTGCCGATGGGAACGTTCCCCAGAACTATCCAGTCTTCGCAATCCTGGGATTCTGCCTGTAGATCCAGCACTGGATTTTGGCAGGGCTTTTCTCCCTTCGAATAGTAGCACCAAAAGAAGATCTACTAACCGCATGGTATCCAGCACACATCTCTCATCACCCTGCAACGCACTTTCTATAGAATCTGGAAGTTCAGATCTTAGGAGATCCTGGAAATAATTAAAAGTCTGAACAATAAAAAATATACAGGGCTTTAGAAAATACTATCAGAACTGGGTTTCATATCCATATGAAATATTTCCTTTTATTCCTTTAAAATAACTTTAAAATATATTGGCTATACAAAAGTACACAAAAAATAAAAAGAAACACACAAGAAAATGAAGAGCTGTAGTGTAAAAACAGTTCTTACATGTGTTACTACTGGAGAGCCTCTACACAGGGTTGACAACAGGCTTACAATAGTTGACACCTGGTTACTCAGTTTAGAGTCTGCAGCCGTGGCAGGGGCTCCGGTGCTGCTGCGCCCGGGTTTGCAAGCGGAGGAGGGTCCTGCTGCCGTCCCACCCGCTGCTGCCATGCGGGATAACAATTCCTCAGTCAAGCCGTGCTTGGCCAGCGGCGCGGGGTCGACTCCGCGCCGCGTGAATCTGTCAGCCAATGAAGCAAAACATCTCAGGGCGCCATCTGAAACCTGAGAAAGAAATGCAAGAGAAGAGACACTCCAAATCTCTTCCTTAGCATGGGAAGACACTAAGCAAATAGCCCCAGGAATACAACATACAGAGAAGAATTGCATATTCTAGGTCCATTTCCCAGGCAACAAAAAGGGAGAGGCTTCCTAGGCTAGCAGCTCAGAGCAGGAACCAACCTTTAYGTCCAAATGTCTATTCAATAATTTCAAGGAAAGCAAGGAAAGTCTTTTCCTTTGTTTAATGTTCACCTTGGCAARTATCTTAACTATACAAAATATAGTAACTATATAATAAAATTTGTTAAAGCAACTTTCTAATAGTGAAGTTGCAAAAAGACAAAATCAAGAAAAGGCAAGAAAAATGCATTCTAATAAATTTATACTTTCCTTACATATATTTGCTGAATTTTAAATTTGGTCCTCAAAGTACAATAAAAACCATTTAAATTTTTCTTTTTAAGCTACAGATTCTGTATTTGCAGAATAGGAAATACGCTAATATGATAAAAGTTTACATCTATGATTAATGCTAATAAAATATTTAGTATTAAGTTGTTGCTTTCTATTAAAAGAAAACCCCTATGAAACAAGTCTTCGGGCAGAGGTGCCAATTCAGAAATGCCAATCATCCAATTGACCAAGACGTTGCTGGAAGCTACAGTTTTATTTATAGGCATACATGCTTTTCTGCAGTAAATTAACTTYGGAATGGTACCTAGCCAAATATCGGTACAAACTGGGAAATGCAGCTTCTACCCTCAGATAGCCCAGTCTGTCCACAGAGTGCCTGGCTCGAAGCTATGGAAAAGATTTCTTTGATAATAAAACACAACCTCATAAATGTAGGTTTCTCATTAATGAGTTATAACACTGACACTGTGGAAACAAGGCTTATGGATGATCCTCTCAATCTGGCAGAAAGCACTGCTGGCCGGCTGCCTGCGAAAAAATGTCCAACAGCTTCTAAGCCAGCACTGGAAATAAAGAGATTTTTGCCTTCAACATCTCTCATCTAACTACATGCTAAATAAAAACATCTTCACTTTTTAGACAAGGAGTTCTTGCAGGCACATCTGAAGAGCTGCTTCTGAAATGCCTGCCTTCTTAAACACGACCTCTGTAGTTCATGAAGCAGTAAAACAGAAGGAGCTCTACTGAAGATGCTTAACAGCAGCCACTATTTACCAAGCCCTCAGTTACTGCAGCCTCCAGTCCCTCCAGAGACATGAGCCTCTTGCCTCACCCACTTGGAAAGCCAGTCAGCACTGGCATGTAAAGACAGTTACTGACACACAAGTTAGGGTATGAGTAGCCATTCAATCACACTGTTAAGTTTGTAAGGATTTAAAGAACAAAGCCTCTCCTGAACAAATGTGGTGACTGCCAAACTTCCACTGTGGTCCCAGTGTGTCAAATATTCTCATTTGTCAGCAACTTTCTGCAAGGGATTTYGCCTTTAACTGAAAATAGTAACTACTTATGCCCTCCAAAACTTCGGTTCCACCAACTTTTATATAATTCATACGTAATTTACCATTTTAAGCACAGCAACTCTATCACAAGAAAGATTCTGCTTATACAGCATGAGCAACACAAAYATTTCCCATCACAAACTGCAAGTTAAGCAGAAGGGAGAAAGGGGCAAAACAGGGACAAGTATAAATAAGCAGAGAAATCAAACCCAGAAGTGTGAACTAAACCGAAACAAGAAAAATGGCTTTACAGAGGAAGTCAGTAGGCAAACCCATATTTAACACATCAACATTCATCAGGAAACTCGAGGCTTCTTTCATACAAGACATAATCCATACCAACACTACTGGGAAAGTTACATATCATTGGGGTTGCTGCATTACTAAGGACACTCATCTTAAGCTTGACTGCTAAAGACCAACTTCCTTAGAGTCTGGACTCTCAGTTGCTCACACTTCCAAGAGTCCCAGATTTTTTTTTCTCCATGCACATTATAAATTTTCAGGATTAACTGGCTTCCCATTAATGGTCTAAACGGTCTAGATCTCAGGGTTATATTTTATTTGATGAGCAGAGCGAAAACAAAGCTAAGTAAAAATCCTACCACACACAAAGACAACCTGGCTTATCCTCAAATGGTTTGTGTGACAGACCCATAAGAAGAATCAACCCTACTGCAGACAGTTCCCTGACAATTATGGTAAAGTAAATTAATAAAAAAAAAAATCCTAGGCAAAAGTCTCACAAATATGATGTGCTTGAACAAATGCATGGAGTTGAGCAAAATGGGAACTAAGAATGGCCTGGACAAGAAGCCTGGAAAGACTACATGTAGCAAGACACAGCAAAAATTTGGTAAAGGAACTAGCACAAGGCAGTAATTCACCACCCACAGAAAGATTCTACTGGTAGGAAGATAACTCCTTTAGGTTCTCATTTCCTAAATTTGTATTAAAAGAGCTACTTCATCTCAATCTAGTAAAATTGCAAAGAATACACTTACTAGTATTTAGCATTCATTGTGGATTTCTTTTCCTCTTAGCTTAGCTAAACAAAAATCTATTTAGGTCATTTTTATCTGACACATACACTTAATTCTGCAGCAACCAAGCAGCAGATTTGGAATGATGATCACTTCAGAAAACATTTCAAAACTGTTTGAAAAATGTTGGATTCCTTAATGAAGAGATGAACAATATCTTCAGAAGTTATACGAGATGGTATTTACACGATAGCTTGGAGTCAAGCAGCACTAAGCAATATTTTTATTCTCTTGTCATCACAACCATAGAAGAAAACTATCATAACATCCAAATATAACAGCTACTATATAAACATAGTTGTGGAAGCTGTATAAAAAATGCCTAACCATTCATTTATTAACCATGACAGAAGTTAAATACTCAGCATGCTGTGCCAACTATTACATTACCTGATGGTCTTCATGTTTTAATAAACTAGACAGTGATTCCACACAGATCTCTAAAGAAGAATCCTGGGGCTCCATTTTGCCGCAGAGCCTGGATACTACAGCCATGGCAGAATGCAAAGTATCTTTATGGACAAGGTGCCCGCTGTCACGAATGAAGGTCAGAACACAATTCAACCCTCCAGCCTCAAACACAGCTCCTGATTCACGGGTGCAGATTAATTCTAACACCTATGACAAAAATAAAACGTAATTATCATTATAGTTAKTCACTTACAACCATCTACACCACAGGTTAAGACAGCAAAGCAACAGAAGAGCTGCCTCAACATTTAAAAGGGGACAACACATTGTAGTTACAGTAACTAAGAGATTTCCTGCTAAAAAACAGAATACAAGAACATCCTCAAGAGCATGCAAATGACAGGAATTCCTGAGAAACAGCTATATAACACTCAAAAGAAATGGTAATGGCATAACCCACAACTGAGAGCTAAGAAACTTCTAAGAGTACTGCTATGTCAGTACTTCAGTTAAATATTTTTGGATAGACTGGACCAACATAGTTATGAAGGTGCAGGAAATGCATGCACAAAGTCTGAGGCAACTGTAATTAAGGACTTAAACTGTGACTGTTTATGGGCACGAGTTCTGCACTGTCAACAGCCCAAGGGATGCAGAGGGCTTCAACCAGGTCTGATGAAGACTTCACAAGGCTGCAGAGGAGCCACGTGTGGTGTTACTGAACAGACAGCAAATAACTCTTCTGCTATGGGGAGAATATACAGGATCAATATAAGCTCTAGTTTTCCATCTATATCAGGAGTAATTACTTCACTCCTTTTGGGCACAAAATGTGACTCTCTCGTCATATTGCTAGAGGACAAAAAGGAAACTTTCTTCTAATATTTTCTCTTTTTTTCCTACTCATTTAAAAATGAATATTTTGGCTTTGAAGAGCATCAGATTGACAACGAACACAAGAAACACAGGCGGCATGTACAACTTCAACACACCGAGGAAGCTTCTGCTTTGCATTTTCACAGTATGAATAGACTTCTCCAAAGTCAGCACTTTTTCCAGCTCCTTAAGAACAGGAGGTTCTGCAGAACACGYACCTTCACACACTGCTCGGCCAAATCCCTGCTGGTTCTGTTGTTTAGTTCAACAACTACCAAACGGTTGCAGAGTGCCTTGATAGCTCCATCCACCCCCACGATGCGCCGGGTGCATTCTGCCGACACGTCCAGGTAGTAGGTTATGGCACGAGCTGTCACTTCTAATACGTTGTCTGGTGCACTTTCATCGAGAAAAATTTTGCACAGTGCTGGTAAGAAAGTTCGTGGAGGGCATCTGAAAAAAAAAAAAAAAAAACAAACAAGAAGCTGTAACTTACCACTAAGTTGTGCAAGTCCCTCTACGTTAAGAGATTTCGTATAGTTTCACATCAATATATTTTGTTTTTATACTGCCATTAATATTTGCTAATATGAAGCTATCTCACAAACTCTCCAATTCAAATTGATGCTCTAAAAAGAAGCTCTATTATAAGATGAACTCATCAGAAAAAATATTTCTGAAGCTTTACAGCCATGCAGGGAAACTCTTTGGAAAATTATTCTAGGAATTAACTTTACCACACAGAATGTGTTTCTCAAAGCTTCAAAGTTCTTAATGGCAACCAGGAAAAGCTACTTAACCATGAAATATGTTCAATGTAAAGATTAAAGACCTTGGTTTTGCTGCAAAATTTCTTTCTCTGAGAGGCCCTATTTCCTTTTGTATTATATATTCTTACTTTTCTATTCATACTATTTTCTTTCCTTCTTTTTTTCACTCTTCTAACCACACTGAGAACATATTTAATTCATTTAGCTTGCTTCTATCGTATTTTCCCTTCATGTCGATGCCTCTGTAGCCTCCAGCTCTCCTCTTTATTTTTAGCCTTATTTCCATATGCGAGAAGAAAGGTCAAGAACAGTCCTGTAACTTCCTAACAAGAAAGTTAAGTGTAACCRTCCTCCTTCCACCTTTTTGACAAAAGGGGGATAAACCACACTGGATGGTCGTACGAAGCATCTTCCCAATGGTAGCAGCTCTGGTTAAGGCAGATCAAAGTTCGCAGGCATGGAGCTCCACCTTAACCCAACTTCTCCAATGAGTCGCCAACTACTTAGCGGCAAGTAATTTACTACACTGATTGCTTACTGCAGTAGTAGGAAACTTCAGAGCAAGGTATTAGTGGCAGTCCTCTCCACGTTTTATGTAATAACACAAATGTATCACTAAAACATTGCTATGAGCAGCTGTGTTCTGCAAACATTATATTGCAAGATAAAATATAACAAGACACATCTTCAAATAAGCAGTTATTCTATGATTTAAGTTTATTTARAAAAGCGTGTAAAATTTATTTTACTACACTTTTCTCCAAATCATTTCAAACTAAAGCTATCCAGTGCAGACAAATATTTGGGGAATCTTCTCTTGAATCTGTAAATTCTTTCAATCTTACTAAAACCGTAACTAGAAAGTGGTTTATGTATCTATTTAGTCATTGCAGCATAAACACAAGTTGGATATATATTTTTTCAAAAAAAGAGAAATCTAAAAATTTAAAGACAAAAGAATCCTCAAATGTCAAAAGAGCCAAAACAGAGAAATGATAACCCAGCAAATACAGCAAACATACAATATTATGAAGTTTATCATTTATACAGAAAACTTTGCAAATATAGAAATGCCAGTGCATTGTCAGCAATGCTCTTGTCTCACTGAGAAAAAAATCCCCMCTTTTGTACACTATATTTGGGGACAGTTCTAAGTAGTTTGACTTCACATAAGTAGGTCGCAAATTTTAACAGTTTGACTATTGCTAAACTTCAAAGCTGAACAAATTTTCTTCAATAGCATGAAAAGTTCATAGAACGTAGCTTTTGTGAATTTAGAATGTAAGCAGGTATAAACTACATTTTACTCAGACATTAATAATAACATGACTAAACCAAACTGGAATTTTTGTATTAGATCAGAAGAAAACAACTAGGCATTTCTTTTTACTATCTTAGTGTGGAATCTCCACCGTTGTGCCATCTTTTGCTTTACTTKGAGCCATAATATTCAAAGCAAGGGAAAAACGTTCTGACAAACTACATGCTAAGTGCTACTAGTCTTACTAGAAGTTGCAAGAGGGCTTATCCTATTTTAAATGTGGTTCTGTAATGAAGACACYTGCTGCAAAAGCATTTGATCTGGGCATTGGTAGGCTCGGGAGAATCAAGAGGAGCAGCAAAAAAGAGCAARTTTACTGCACCTGCAGACAGACCAGGTGGAGTGCTACAGTTCTAAAGAGATGGATTAGCACAGTTGTGAAACACTGCTCTTCACAGAGGCAAAACCAGACACACTTCAGTGAAAAACAAACAACACAAGTACATAAAAGAGATGAAGCACACTTCACCCTGATGTGGTAAACTACTGCTGCCGCATTTACTTTGTGAGGAAAACGATGCTCAAGCCTTCCAGTAGRCAAAGTATGGGGTGCTTGGAGAGAGGCACAGACATACATGGACACACCTGCATCCTACACAGACAAGTGAGAWTCCTTTGGCCTACCAGAGACTTCCAAGGCTACAGGAGACACTCGAGTTCCTGACAGCCAGGGAGCAGTAAGTACCAGTTCTGCCATTCACACAGAACCAGTTATTACGAGTCTATAATATCAATGAAGAAGGGCATACTAAAGCATCCCCCATCCTCTGCCTACACGCTTCTTAAGCAGGTGGGCAGAATCACCTGCTTAAATTATAAATCACCTTACAATTATAAAATTGTAGTGATGTCAGATTTTGAAGAACTTGGGGCATTGTACTGTAGGAATCTTCCATGTGGATAACTGCCTGTGTGTTACAGACAGGCATATACGTAAGTCATCACCCTCATCACCCTCTAATCCCCAAATCTGCACTAAGCTACTACACAGGCAACCACGGCTGCTCTACGTGCCTGAGGGACAGACATGTGGGTGTCTGAAAAGTGCAAGACACAGGACTAACTGGCGGGAGGAGGACAAACCGCTGCACACGACCAGAGCCCAAAGGCAGCAGCAGTAGCACAGGCCTGCAGCACCTGTACAAAGCACAGATGCCCCTGCTCCCCTCCGTTCTGCCACAGCACTGGAGGGGATTTCTGAGTCCTGTGCACTTGATCCTTAAGAAACAGGGGAAGCTTTGCCCTTATTCAGCGCATGGTGTCTGCGCCTCAACATTGTGCAAATGAGCTGTCCTGGTAGTATCAGAGTTTTCACTCGACCTTCTCTTAAATAAAAATACCTTGTTATTAAAATGCAAGCAAAGGCAGCACAGGGAGGAGAAAAACACTGCATAGCTGAAGCAGGTGTAGCAGCCAGGTCCGAGGAGAGGATTTTTATCCTGAGGATCCTCTTCTTTTACCATGTTCCCTCTCTGCGCTCCTGTATCCCCAGCCAGCACTGAGTAAGCACGCTCAGCATTGGCGGGAAGCGGAGGGCGACGCCACCACGCTGGGTCACGGACGTGTCGCCACAGAGCCAAGCTCACGATAAGCCCCTGCTCCAGCTCTCAGGCAGGCTGAGGTAGATTCACGGGGCCTAATACGGCCTCAGATATTTGCTGGAGATTAGGCCCAATCAATCACCTAGAGCCTAATGGTCTTCCTGTTCAGACTATGCTCAGAGCTGAAACGCCCTTTGGGAGGGTCAAGTAAAACATTTCAAGAGCAGCTGTAGCCACCAGGCCCACGCTGCGTTCACCTGGAGCACTAGGAAAGTTGTCTAGGTGCAAAGAGCAGGAAACTCTGGAAATACTGGGAAGGGCAGAGAGGCCAAGGCTAGAACGGCCACGCGAAACGAGCTGACGTGAGAGGGCAGTGAATGACGTTTATCCTTTAACACACCTCCATCCACCGAGAGGAGGATGATYGTTTTATTACGGAAAAAACAAAAYAAACAAACAAACAAAAACCTTTCACACTGAGACCTAAACAGATATTGAAGAGCAAAGCAGTAGGTATAATTCCTGAACTCAAAGCCTCCCAGTATGAAAACTATTTTTCATGTTCTTTTCATCTACATATTTCATTAAAAAAAATAATAGAAAAAAGTCAAAAACCTTTCACTGAACACTCAATGCTGAATCATTGCTCAATTCACAGCAAACTATTTGCAACTGAACAAACCAGAGAACGAACATAACCTGTTTCAATATAAATTTCTGTTTGTATAAAGAGGTTTTTATTCTTTCAGATTAGAAAATGAGTGGCTCCAAAGTTCCAAAGTACTTCTATTTAAGTATTTTTTCCCCACTGACTATGAAAGTGAAAGAAAATGTGATTTTTGTTGGTTGTTTTTTTTTTTTTAAGATATCCTAATCAACTATATAAATACCACACTGGGAATATCCGGAAGTCCTTTCAAGAACGGTGATTAGAGACAAGGCCCAACTTCAGCGTGTTAATGAGATTACCCGTGAGCAACGCCACTGCTCTTAACCAGCCAGGGTCAGTCTCTCAGTTCTGGATGGCCACGCAGCCCTATTCTGCACTCTTGGGATAAGAGTTTTTGCTGATTAGCTCACCAATCTTCACTCACCCTGTTTCAAAGATCTTACTGCAAGACTGGCTGGCAGAGTCRTTCTGAAGTACTCTTCAGTATCCGTGTTTACTTTTCATATCCTAATCCAACAGGGTTATGGAATTTGTTGTTTAGTAGGGCAATCTCTGTTCCACATTTCCATTTCCAGACGTGCTGATTCTGTATCATTTTACTACAAAATTTTGCTATGCTTTCAGTATTAAAATGAGTATTTTAAACAGCAAAGGCCACAATATACAACGTTTTTAACATACATTCTCCCCCAAGGAAAGTTTAATTGACCTGGAGATACTTTCTGAAGATTAATATTGATAAATTGTCAAGAAAGGAGAAGGAAATTAATCAATATAGCTATATGTCAATCTAGCAGTTCTTGCATTACATCAGCATAACTCTCTATGCTGGCACACTTATTTCTGGGAGTTTTGGGGTTTTTTTTTTGGAATAGGAGCGTGCATAGGGCTGTAAAAACCTCACACAGCTGTAGCAGTAAACTCCTGYCATTGCCAAGTCAAACTCAAACGAAGACTCAGTGTTTTAAATGACTCAAATCAAGTGACTCAGCTGATTATGCAGCACGTCACTGTAAAAAGATACCCAAGAGTATAAATCAGCAATGTAAATTCATTTCTCTAATTACAATTTAAGARTGCTCAAAAGCCTTAGCTAAAACAGAAACTACCATGGCACTTTGAAGACACCGTTGATTAAAACCAACAAAGAC